GAGCTAGAGCTAAGATATTTAGCATGAAACATCTTCTAATGGGTGTCTACCAAGTTTGTTCAAATAAAAGCCCTGGGGTGAAAATTGGCCCCGCCCCGGGGGTCATTGATTTTCCCTATATGCATATAGTAAAAACTTAAAAAAATCTTCTTTTAAAGAACTCAAAGAGCTATGGCTAAGATATTGAGCATCAAACATGTTCTAATAGGTGTCTACCAAGTTTGTTCAAATACAAGCCCAGGGGTGAAAATTGGCCCCGCCCAGGGGGTCATTGATTTTCTTTATATGTGTTTAGCAAAAACTTTAAATCTTCTTTGAAAAAACCCAAATAGCTAGAGTTTAGATATTAAGCATGAAACATCTTCTAGTAAGTGTCTACAAAGTTTGTTCAAATAAAAGCCCTGGGGTCAAAACTGGCCCGGCCCCAGGGGTGTCATTGTTTTTAACTATATGTGTATAGTAAAAACTAAAAAAAATCTTCTTTTAAAAAGCCCAATGAGCTAGAACTTAAATGTTTAGCATGAAACATCTTCTTATTGGTGTCTACCAAGTTTGTGCAAATAAAAGCCCTTGGGTTAAATTGGCTTTGCAACGTTGGGGGAGTGGGGGTTGGGGGGGCCTATATACAGGTGAGCGACCTCAGGGCCATCATGGCCCTCTTGTTTTAGATTGCCATATGAGTTTGAGGCTTGTAAGTTCTGTATACGGTAAAGTTATACATATACAGTCCCTTCCAAAAGTTTCCGGACATAGTTACAAATCATATAAAATGAAAGAAATATCAATGAAATAACAGCAAAGGAATATTTCATCTCTTTAATCTTCAACAATAACATCAAACATGGGCAAAAACAACACTTGTCAACATTCCGATGCCATAAATGTCAATAGTTAGTCAATATTATCCAATTGTCCCCAAAACGTCCTCATTCATAACATAACAGTTTGTGCATCTTAATACTCGGTATGCCCTCCGTGGGCTTCAATGACAGCCTGTATTCTGTTAGGCATACCTCTCTCAAGCCGAGAGCACCTTTCTCTGGGTATGGCCTCCCATGATGCCACAACATTTGCCTCCAGTTCACCCATGTTGCGACTTAATTTGTTCTTAAGTCCACATTTGACATCCCACCACAAGTTTTCTATGGGATTGAGGTCTGGTGATTGTGGGGGCCATTGAATACACCTTATTCCATTGTCCTCCTTCCAGTCATGAACTATTCTCGCTCTATGACATGGCACATTGTCATCCTGTAGCCAATAATTGTCCCCATATCCCAGGAGATGGGCTGATGGCACTGCAAAATTTTCCAGAATGTTCACATATCCTGTTCCATTTAACCGTCCATCATCTCTTGTAAGCATGCCTGTCCCCCTGTATGTCATGGCACCCCACACCATTACCCCATCACCTCCAAACTTCACAGTTGGGATTACACAATTATCCTTGAACTTTTCACCGGTACGCCTACGGATGTAAACACGGCCATCAGTTTGAAACATATTAAATTTTGACTCATCTGTGAATAACACACATGACCAATCTACCCAAGACCAGTGTTCATAACGTCTAGCAAAGTCCAGACGCAGTTGGCGATGTCTGGCAGTTAAAAGAGGCTTCTTAACTGCTAAATGTCCATTGAGGCCAGCGACACTAAGTCTGCGTCTCACGGTAGAACTTGAAGCATTCACTCCAGCTTCCTGCCAGACCATCCTCAGGGCAGGAACTGTTAATTTTCGGTTCTGGAGGGAAGTTCGCACTAGTAGCCTGTCATTCCTCACGTTGGAGACCTTGGGGCGTCCAGATTTTGGTCTAGGGGCATATGGGAACCGGTCTCTTGTAGACGTTGTAGGGTCTCGTAGACTGTTGACCTGAAATACAAAATTCATGAGAGTGTTAAAGATGGGGAAATTCTCACTTTTGTTTGCCAGAAACAACAATGCAACACTAGCAGACAGTTTAATTTAAGACAAAAATGTATACTAAAAACTTAGAATGACTCACCTTGACCTTCCAAGCTGGCGTGCAATCTCTGCAACAGGAACACCCTGATCCCTCATGATCTGACAGCGTAATCTCTCCTCCAGTGACAGCATTCTTATTTTTATCGTAGGTAATGACAACTGCCATCACATGTTATTATACTCATTACATTTTAATTTTTTTCTGACTTTGGACTGTTTGTTCTGTACACTTCACTTTATGGTTAATTAAAATGTACCACAAACAAACACATGTGTTTAAAGGAAAACAATTTTTGGAGGGCACAAATGATGACTTTTGAAGACAAATAATGTTAATTTATTACCACCCTTTATCACACCTTATTTAAAGGTACTTCTTTTGTTTCAAACTAATAAAACAAGCAAATTACCTAGAATATTTTAGTAAAAAAAGTTTGTACGGAAACTTTTGGAGAGGACTGTACTTACACAAGGGTTTAGCTGTCAGCAAAGATTGTAGTTAGCCATAGGTTGATAGATAATTTAATAAGTGTTAATTTGTCAAAACATAAATAATTTAATAAGTGTTAAGTTGTTGAAACATAAAACTTTTTTATTCATAAGCATGTTATGGTTGCTTTAAGTTTAACAGAAAATTAAATTGATTATACTTTATCACTTGTCTTTTGTCATTGTGTACAAAAATAGATTTCAATTCTTATTTACCCATACTGGTTGAGACCCACCTTTATTGAGTACTGAAGTCCATAGCCCATTTGTTTGCCCTTCACCCTAAAGTTGCCCTTCACCCTAAAGCCTAAGTCCTGTATCCTCACAATATTGCGAGGGACTCAGAGCGTTGGGATAACCAGCCTGGTGAACTGAGCAGTATAAGCGGAGCTGATATTAAAGTCGAGCACTCACACCCTCAGTCATCCAGACACTACATTGTCTATAGCATATTGTATTTTACAATACCAAGGCCATCCGGACGCCTGAGGACCGCTAGAGGGTAACATATTTTTAATAAGCGGAGCTGATATCAAAGTCGAGCACTCACACACTCAGTCATCCGGACACTACATTGTCTATAGCATATTGTATTTTACAATACCAAGGCCATCCGGACGCCAGGACTGCTAGAGGGTAACATATTTTTAATAAGCGGAGCTGATATCAAAGTCGAGCACAGTCACACACTCAGTCATCCGGACACTACATTGTCTATAGCATATTGTATTTTACAATACCAAGGCCATCCGGACGCCAGGACCGCTAGAGCGTAACATATTTTTAATAAGCGGAGCTGATATCAAAGTCGAGCACTCACACACTCAGTCATCCGGACACTACATTGTCTATAGCATATTGTATTTTACAATACCAAGGCCATCCGGACGCAAGGACCGCTAGAGCGTAACATATTTTTAATAAGTGGAGCTGGTATCAAGGTCGAGCACTCACACACTCAGTCATCCGGACACTACATTGTCTATAGCATATTGTATTTTACAATACCAAGGCCATCCGGACGCCAGGACCACTAGAGCGTAACATATTTAGTGTTTTTTCCCTCTACTTTGGGAATGGTGCTGGTACCAGACTGATTGGGAAAAAAATGCGTTATTTTGACTTAAATTTGGAATTTTTTTAAGCATTTTTTCAGCTAGAAATAAGATAAGTCATCATGAATATAGATAGCTAACAGCTTCCACTGTCCAGGGAGAACTATTGAGTGGTGATTTATAAATATGAATATGTTGGATTTAAATGATTTCAGAGAAATCAATTGGCCTTGTGGTTATTTTGAACAGCCATTTTGGAATTTAAACATTGGAAATTGGGAATTTTACTGTCTATTTTCTATTGGGAACAGTACCGTTTTAGGGTAGTAGTTATATAAAGAAAAAAAACACTGATATTTTTAAATAAGTGGAGCTGGTATCAAGGTCGAGCACTCACACACTCAGTCATCCGGACACTACATTGTCTATAGCATATTGTATTTTACAATACCAAGGCCATCGGGACGCCAGGACCGCTAGAGGGTAACATATTTTTAATAAGTGGAGCTGGTATCAAGGTCGAGCACTCACACACTCAGTCATCCGGACACTACATTGTCTATAGCATAGTGTATTTTACAATACCAAGGCCATCCGGACACCAGGACCGCTAGCACGTAACATATTTTTCGTCTGGGCCATTTCTCCTAATGAATAAAAGCCATGGACTTGAAACTTCCTCATTAAGAAGAAGTGCAGTGCACAAGAACTGGTACTCTACATTTCTTATTTTTTGAGTTATTGCCCTTTGTTAAGTTTCATACTTTATTTTTGTCCAGTCATTTCTCCTAAAGTATAAAAGCTATGGACATGAAACTTCATAGGATGATAGATCTCATTAAGAAAAAGTGCAGTGTACAAGAACCAGTACTCTGCATTTCTCATTTTTGAATAATTAACCTTTATTAATTTTCATACTTAATTTTTGTCCAGGCCATTTCTCATAAATTTTAAAAGCTATGGACTTTAAACTTCATAGGATGATAGATCTTATTGATAAGAAGTGCAGTGCACAGAAACTGCACTTCTTATTTTTTTGAGTTATTGCCCTTTGTTAATTTTCGTATTTCATTTTTGTCCTAAACTATATTGTTCACAAGGCGACACATCCGACTCGCGGAGATCTAGTTTATTCATAATCATATATTAATGGGTTTCAGGAGATGAATTAGCCATTTAAAGGTGAAAAGGTGCGCCAACACACTTTTTAGTCTCACTTGTTTTACATTGCACCTATGTGTACATTGATGCTGGATGACTTTCCAGATGTAAGAGGCCTTCATTGTGTCTGCTTTATTCCAGTCAAAGCGGGAAAATGAGTTGAACCACTGACCTTTAAGCTTGCTGAATAGCTTTGACATAAGAAAGAATACAAGGTTCCTGTCTAAATTCAAATTTGCAGCAGTGAGGGGCAAATAGGTTGAAATCAACAACCTTAACCACTGAGCCTTGAAGGCCGCTTTTGATGATGTTAGACTAACAACATTAAAATATAGATACTCTTTTTATTCTCTTTAACAAGCATTGCACACACCATGCATGAAAAATAAGTTGACATAATTAAATAGGTAAATAAATAGGTAGTTTTAAACAGTGTCCGCTATAAAATCAACAATACTAAATCTAGCATATACAGTCTTCTAGAAAGTGTCACATCATAAAATTAACAATTATAGTAGAATCTAGCATATACAGTATTCTAGAAAACTACATGTATTCATTTTCACCAGATCTGCAATTTCAAAACTGATCAAAGAAAACATGTCCGAAACAGATAATGTATCATTAGGCTTATTTTATATTCATATCGTATCACTAGAGGTACATGTGTAGTTGCGCTAAAAGATTTAAAAAAATTATTCCATATTTGCATGACAAAGGAGAAATTTTCAGATTCATAGCAAAAAAAATTGTTTGGCTAAATAAAATATTTGTCTTTTCATAAATAACTTCACTTGATCCTTGCAGTTTTTTGTCAAATTCAAATAATTGGATGAAGAGATAAAAGGTTTATATGAATTTGGTTACATGATATATGGACCTAAGAACATAATATGATCCCTTCATACATACAAAGCTTTTATACAAGGCATTCAAACCATGTCCTGCTTAACGCCATCTCAAATGTGAACAAACGAACATGTGCAAATCTAAATCCCCCTAGAACAGGGGCACAAAAATAGGATAAAGAGATAAAAGGTTTAGCTGAATTTGGTTACATGATATATTGAGCTGAGAACATGTGATCCCCTCATACATACAGAGCTTTCATGCCAGACATTTAAACCTTGACCTTCTGAAGGCCATCTCGAGTACATGTACATTTGTTAACTATTTAGAACCAGTACAGAACCATTTAGTACCAGACTAAATACAGGGTATCAACTTCTTGACAAGTATTTAATAGTCTGAGACAAACATAATTATTGTTTAATTAATATTTCAAGAAAACCTGAAAAAAATAGTCAAAAATTAAGAACACCACAGTTAAGAAGTCACAAAAAATTTCCAAGCATGCAAAGTAAATCAGTTAATTAAATTAAAGTCTTGGCAATAAAAGCATTTAAACTCACACATGACCTGGTCAATCAGCAAAATTTAAGTCTCCTTAATATTTTCCAAGAAAACTGGAAAAGAAAATAGGAACACCACAGTTAAGAAGTCACAAAAGATTTCCAAGCACACAAAGTAAACGGTTAATTAAATGAAAGTCCTGGCAATAACAGCATTTAAAATCACAGATGACCAGTTTAATCGCCTCCACCTGAATCTATTGTGAAACCATCCATTAATCCTGCTACATCATCCACTTTAGTATCACAGTCTCCCTGTTTTTTGTCTGCTTGTATAGCTCTTTCTGTTTCAGAAAATGATGTAACACAATCCTCCGATTTAAGATTAGTCGTTGTTACAAGAGGCACATCATCTTTTTTCTTTGGACCTTTTTGGTTAGTCTGCCATTTTCTAACCTTGGGTTCCTGAAATTTATTATGACTAAAGAAGTTCATATTTTTTACATGTTAACTGCATAGAAACAAAATCTGAACAAAATCTGAACATTAAATGGATAAAATAATAATTATTTTATCAATTAATAGTTTTAGAAATTTGGCAAACCTGCCATTCTGATTCACAACCGCCATTTGCAACGGATATCTTGCATTTATTAGGCCTTGGTGAATTACCTTTTTATCAATGTTTAAAGATCCTGTAACACAATTTTTTTATGGTTTTAAATCATAAATATGATGCTCAAATTAAGATTTATCAATATTGTAGGTTCCAAAAAGCATTTTCCTCATAATTCTTTGCATTACTGTGTTGCATCTCCTCTTGATATTGAAGGTTCCCATAAAGTTTCGTTGAATTCCAGCCAGTAGTTGCAGAGAAGTAGCGCGGAAATGATTTTTACTCTATATGCATACTGCATAACTAATCAAGGGCCATAACTCTGAGTTAAAGTGTCTGACCGGAACAAGCCGACGATATGCCTATCTCCTCTTGGTATTGAAGGTTCCCATAAAGTTTCATTGAATTCCAGCCAGTAGTTGCAGAGAAGTAGCGTGGAAACAATTTTTACTCCATATGCATACTGCATAACTAATCAAGGGCCATAACTCTGAGTTAAAGTGTCTGACCGGAACAAGCCGACGATATGCGCATCTCCTCTTGGTATTGAAGGTTCCCATAAAGTTAAATTGAATTCCAGCCAGTAGTTGCAGAGAAGTAACGTGGAAACGATTTTTACTCCATATGCATACTGCATAACTAATCAAGGGCCATAACTCAGAGTTTAAGTGTCTGACCGGAACAAGCCAACGATATGCGCATCTCCTCTTGGTATTGAAGGTTCCCATAAAGTTTCGCTGAATTCTAGGCAGTAGTTGCAGAGAAGTAGTGCGGAAACGATTTTTACTCTATATGCATACTACACATCTAATCAAGGGCCATAACTCTGAGTTAAAGGGTCTGACCGGAACAAGCTGACGATATGCGCATCTCCTCTTGATATTGAAGGTTCCCATAAAGTTCCATTGAATTCCAGCCAGTAGTTGCAGAGAAGTAGCGCGGAAACGATTTTTACTCCATATGCATACTGCATAACTAATCAAGGGCCATAACTCTGAGTTTAAGTGTCTGACCGGAACAAGCCAACGATATGCGCATCTCCTCTTGGTATTGATGGTTCCCATAAAGTTTCGCTGTATTCTAGGCAGTAGTTGCAGAGAAGTAGTGCGGAAACGATTTTTACTCTATATGCATTCTACATATCTAATCAAGGGCCATAACTCTGAGTTAAAGGGTCTGACCGGAACAAGCTGACGATATGCGCATCTCCTCTTGACGTAAAGTTTCGTTGAATTCCAGCCAGTAGTTGCAGAGAACTACTCCGGAAACGAAATTCAGACGGACGGACAGAAGGACGGACAGCGCCAAAACTATATCCCCCTCCACAATTCCATCGGCGGGGGATAATAAACTTTGATTACAAGAGGCTGTGAACTAAATAAAAATGCAACCTGATTACAACAATATTTACCCTTAAAGCTGCATGTCTGTCGATGAGTCAAAATACTTCCAAGGAAATCAAATTTGAGAAAATTGTTCAAAGATTTAAAAAGAATAATAAAAAAGATTAAAGATTTCAGTAGTTCTTTACATGTTGTGTGTGATTAATAACTGATTGTCCAGTATTAATTACCAAATTTCTACTGCATGCCTACAGCAGTCAAGGGCTATTTTTGCATATTTTAACCTCTTTTTCATTAACATGGATTGTATGTTATATTCAATTTACTTTTAATATTGTTTCAAAATATTTCATGATAATTAGCAAGCGTCTGGACGCATGCTGCTTTTATGCATATCAAATTATGAATAAGCTAACATATTTTGCCACATCTACATATATGACTAGAATATGAATCTATATTTAAAATTTGTGAAATATTTTTCACTAGTTACACAATCTGTACATGTATAGCTTAAATTCTACAGTATAGTAAAGTCAAAATGGCAAAAACCTTCTTTACATTATGCAGAACTTTTAGAGGGGAAGTAATATGTGAAAAAAAATACATCTTACAGGTATATTATCTGGTGTTTCCAGGGGTATCGTCACAGGACCATCATTGTCTATATGTACTACCATCATTGCTCCAAATATACCATCTATAATAATACAAAACATGTAAATTGAGGTTATATTTGTATAAAGCAAATGATGTCACATTGCATTGTTATTACACTAGTGTAATATCGTTTTTATTTCATGGCTTTATTACACTCTGGCATGATTTGTGATAATGTAGTTTTATGCTTGAGAGGATTATGACTCGTCATCAGTATAATTATAAAGCCACTCTATGATGAAATGTTCAAAAACCTTTTAACCATATATCCTGACTAACTTCCAAAGTGTTAAAATGAATCAAGAAAATATGATATGACATGACTGTAGCATAATTGTTCATTTCAGTTTGATGCTATAAGCTGGGTGAATTTCTGCATTAATTTTTCAGTTTACATTCAAAACTGTAAACGTTCAGTCAATTTTCAGTACCCAAGTGCCCTGTACATGTACAATAATGACGGCAATAAAAGATGAAAAACATCTGTACCTTGTCATAAACCAAATTCTTTTCAATCAACAGAGTATTATAAAAATTTTAATGCTTTCATACCAACAATTTCAACACTATGCGACAAAGATTTTTTTAACAATATGGCAAAAAACAATTACTCATCATATTATTTTAGGCTTTATTATGTTTTTATCAAAGACAGTACCTTTAATCTTATCCTTTGAATAGTTCTTGCCCATCATTTGTAAGAAGTCATTGTAGAATTGTTCTGACTGTTCTGGTGCCATGGCATTATGAAAATCTGGTTTATTTCCCTTCATTTGTAAACACAATGTAAACTGAAACATGGTGAAATTAACAAATATATAACTTTTAAACAGCTGATTAGTCAAGACGAATTAGAAAAATTAAGTTATATTATATTCCTTTCTTTTGATTTTTAGCTCAAGACAACACTGTTAATGCTCCATAGCAAAAAAAATTACAATAGAAGGCCATGCGCCATAGGTCATTCGGTACAGCCATTAATGGAAGCCCTGCCGTACTGCAGCTGTACCGACTGAGCTATCTGGTGGCAGCTTATATAATTTCTCCCTTAACTGTTAAAAGTTCAATGCTGTGGCATTAATAATATGGAAATAATGGAATATGTGTTAAAATAAAAAAATATAAACATAAAAAGATGTGGTATTTAAGAGCAAACATGCTAAACAAACCTGACTGACACACAAAACTTCATAATTCATCTCCATTACATTTTTATCCCATCGTTTATCATTTTCACCATCAAACAGTCTCAGATTAAGTATCTTTTTGGCTCTGAAATAAATGAAAAATATATCAGATGAATAGTAAAGCTATTTTTTGTGCAGTACTGCAATATACACCAAATTATACATCTTTTATATTCTAAGCTTGATTTAAAAACTCGAAGGGATTCTGGATATTTATCAGTTTAAAATATTATTTTGAATCAATAAAATATGCCTAAAATAATATCAACATTTTTTAGAATGAAGACTGATTGCATTCAAAATTCATAATATTAAATTAACTTATATTCGTTGTTTGTTTGTTTGATTGGGTTTTATGCCACATCGACACAGTATAGGTCATATGGTGATGTTCCAGCTTTACTGGTGGAAGAAGACTTCAGGTGCCCATGGCACTTTAATACTCACAGCCATTCTGCCTCTTTAGGAGCATCCTTTCTATCAATGCCAACCAATACACATAGACCATTTTTTATGCTACTAACAGTTTTACCATCAACTGAAAATACAAAGCAACAATATCAAGAACAAATTTACTCAATCTATATTATAGGATTTTTACAGACTATGATATGATGTTTTCCAACATGTGAGCATTGTTACAAGTGATATCAATGGGGAAGCATTAACTGCAGGTTTTGTGCGGGTAATATGACCTCGCAACACATATTAGATGTTTTAGTTATGCAATGTGTCAATGTCAAAATTTGACAATACTTGGAGATTTAGAGGACATAAATGTATATTATGAACTATCATCTGTGTTTAAGATTCTTTTCATTTACATGTACTTTGTTTAAGATTCTCTGTCTTCAAATTTATTCTTCTCTGTTCTAAACATCTTCACTCTTACTAGCAGACTTTCAGGACTCTTAGTATTTGAAATATTGCACATGTACAACAAGTACCAAACATAAATGCAAAACACTCTTCAATTTGTGAAATCTGCGACTATATCAGTTATAGGTGTTCACACCACTGACTAAATGTTATTTTCTGTCCGATCTGATTAATTATACACAGAATGTTTTTCAAAATCTTGAGAAAATTTTTCCAACATAATTAAAAAAAATTTCGCTATGATGTTAGTGTGTTTGATACATTATTACATGTACATAAACGTTTAACATAATAAAGGTATTACAACATTAAACTGATAATACGATATGCGGATCAACACCCAATTACGGATTTTAGCGGATAAAATAGTTGAATCAATGTTTGCTAAAACTTGTGAGGTTTTCAGTTGAATTACGCAAACGCACAAATGTTAAAACCAGACATTTACTTAGGTCACAAATTGATGTGAAGTCTCAAATCGATGAGAATAATACATATGCAAATTTCTATGTCTGTAGATGGAATAAATGGTGACCAAAACAATGTTTAGTCATATCTTGAATAACAAGAACTGTCTGAGGACAGTAAGGCTCGACTATTCGAAAAGTTGTCACAAGGGTGTTTTAGTGAGTATAATAACGCTTACAGGTCTATGAATACATAAAATTGACCAAAAAGGTACAAAAGCTTGTTATTAAGATGTTTTATCAAGTAAATCACTGCTTTATTATTATGAATGCATAAAATTGTCCCCAAAAAGGCACAAACCCTTCAGTATTTATGGAGATAACAGCTTACAAGCAAAACTTTACCATTAATTTCTAAGTTGAAAAAGGGGAGAAAAATCAGCCTACATGCAAGATAAAATTATGGATCTTGGTCATTGACCTACAATTATGACCCTAAATGCATATGTGAAGTTTTAAATAAATTTCTTTAATAGTTATTGAGATATGTAAAACTTGCATCTAAACATTAACAAAGAGACTAAGTAGAAAAGGGGAGATAAATCAGCCTTAATGCAAGACAGAGTTATGGAACTTGGTCAGTGACATACAATTATGACCTGTCATGCATATGAGAAGTTTCAAATCAAAATCTCTGATAGTTATTGAGAAATTTAACTTTAAAAAAACTTTAACCAAAATTTTTAAGTTAAAAAGGGGCATAATTCTGTAAATATTGTAGGCAGAGTTATCCAACTTGTCAATCAGATGTACCTTGTTACTATAAATAAGTATTGTAAGTTTCAATTGAATATCTTAAGCAATAATTGAGATATTTGACTTTACAAAAAACTTTAACCAAAATTTCCAAGTTAAAAAGGGGCATAATTCTGTAAATATTGTTGGCAGAGTTATCCAACTTGTCAATCTGATGTACATTGTTACTATAAATAAGTATTGTAAGTTTCCATTGAATATCTCAAGCAATAAGTGAGATATTTGACTTTACAAAAAAACTTTAACCAATGCAGACGCGGACGCCGGGGCGACTACAATAGCTCTCATATTCTTCGAATAGTCAAGCTAAAAATGATACGGAGTAGATTTATTGATAACAATTATTTTAAAATGCAGAAAAAAATACTAAAAAAAACGTTGTTAGGCTCAAACAAACATCGCGAAAACTAGTTGCATTTTCATACAGTCGGAGAATGATCAAATATATTTAAATAAACAACTAGAGAACCTGTAACACTTGCTTTAACAACTCTTTGGACAATTGCTTTCATTTTGTCAGTTTATTTTTAAACCGTAAAATTGACATGTATATTTATTCTACTTTTGTTTTAGAAAATGATACGAGATGTTCATTGTACGAAACACCGCCGGAAGTTGTAGATGGTACGTGTTTCCCGTAGCAACAGGAAGCGTCTGTGGATTTTATTATTAATTTTCGGACAGGTAAGGAAGGAAATTCCAAAATCGTTTAATAATTAACATTTTTATGTAGGTATACAAAAATAAAATATTTAAATATTGAGAATTGCCTTATTGACAAGCATGCACGCAAATCTAACAAATTATTGTCAAAAGACAAATGTTTCAGATTTTTTTTCTTCAATTTTCATGATTTTTGTTAAATTTGTTGATTTCATTTTTCAAATCTTCCAGTTTGCTTAGTTATGAGTAATTATCGCATTTATATAAATTGAATGTGTCTATTTTGAAATTCTACCTGTTGAGTAATGCACAAGTCAGCTCCCTTATTGACCATTGTAACTTATGTGTTTAAGAAAATAGATGCAGTATAAGATATCAATATAGCAGCTCCATTCCACATGTCGATTAAAAAATCTGTTCTCTATTTCTCTTTTGCAAAGATTATCTTGGAATACTGTAGCCTACACTTTCCATTGATGATATATGCATCTAGAGTCAGTGTACCCGGAGTCGTACACTTTTTTAAGTAAAAATAAGAAAATTATCTTATAGTTAAAAATTCTTCTTATAATAGATATTATTTTGAAAATTACATCCTTTGCCCATAAAAACTGATTACCGAAACATTTCTATCTTAAGTAGGTCATACTTCTAGGCGCACTTGATTTTAAGCAACAGGAATGGGCCAAATATGATAAATAGTGGACTCGGTTCCGCACACAAGGCCATTTTTATACTGAAAGGTTATTTTACATCTTAAACATGTTTTATAAATTATTTAACATCTAAGTCCAGATAAGTTATATTTTTTTTTAAATTTTCAGGACTTCAAATAAATTTAATGCACATTCTTACTACAGTATACAAATATTTATTTCCAAGCATAGTAGCACACAGGAAACATGTAACAGCAATTGAAATATACTTTTTACCACTTGTAGGTAGTAAAGACAGACATGAAACATTATTATTGAAAGCTTTTTCATCTGTTTAGTTATGATTTGTTCGATTAAGAGTTTGGTATCATTTTAAACAAAAGAATCAAAGTGAAATGACTTGACATTTGGTAGTTGGGAGTAAAGTTGATTCATGTGCATATATTTCATAACTAACAGCAAATTTGCCATAACAAAAACATACATTTCTTTTCAAATATATATTTTATAATGATCTTAACATTAAAATAGAAATTAGCATGGTTTAATTGCTGAATAAGTTGTTTTTATGTGTGACCTACACAGCCATGTACATGTATTTACATTTTCGTCTGCACTGTCTAGGGAGAGGCTGGGGTGCAAGATCCCAGATTATGTCATATCCTGTTGAAAACATGCCAGTTCAGTGAAACACAAATGAAAACTAAATAAATTCATTTGATTTTTTTAAGAAAAAATGAAAAATGGGAAAGTGTGCAGGACCGGGTCCTGTGCGGAACCGGGTACACTGACTCTAGTAAAGTTTATGTCTCAAAGATATAGTTGTTGCCGTTTAGGAGACTGTTACATTTTATTAATGCTGGATGAGAGAAGTTTTAGTGTGCTTTGTAAATTTATGCACCAATGGACTTTTTAATCTAGAATTAAAAAAAAATAGGGTACTCCATGAATATCTTAACTCTTCATCAGTGTTGGTCATATGTATAATTGCGTTGCTTGAACTAGTATTTATTCAAATTGCCATGCTTGACTAATAACCTAATCTTTTCATTTCAGAACAAAAACATAAAAGGCCAACATGGGTGACAGTGAGCCCCCATCAATACGTCCACCAGAGACAATAACAATTACAGTCCTAAGAGCAAGGAACCTGGTAAAAACTCTCTTTTTTTCAAAATCTTTTGAAAGTCCTGTCATTCATTATTCTAACAATTTTACAATGAAGTGCATATTTGCTCAGTTTTTTTTATTTTTATTTTTTTTTCATTAAAAAAACAAAACAATGTTAAAAAAAACAAGCAATTAACAACTGTGGCTTTGCAATTGGGAAAATAAGCGCAACATGTCAGTCTTTAGTAGATAAAACACATTTTATATTAATCATTAATATTATGTAATTTTTATCATATATTGCATGATGCTGCATGAAATTTTTAAGAATGAAGACTGCATTTGAGCTTAATCAATTTATTATTTAACTGAAACAGTGTTTGATTTTGAATTACATGTTACATTCTTAAGAGTAAAACAGCAAAATATATTATACAACATTTAAGCATTGAAATAACATTGACCTAAAAATCACTGTTGCTGAATCTTGTTTTATGTTTTAAAAAAATATCAATTTTGTTTCTGTCATGCAGCCTTGATTCGAATAATGAATAAATGTTTTTATTCCAAATTATGGAACGTCCTGGTACTATAATGAAGAAGTATAGTTCAATACTAATTAACTGTACAGCAGTACATAGAATATAAGTTTGATCCTAACGTTGGTCATACCTTGAGGGTAGTGCTGGAAAGAGTATGAAATTTTAAGATATTGTGATTATCAAAATTTAAATGAAGTCATGTACATGTAATTGCAGAAAGGTTCAAGTGCCAAGGCAGATGCAGTCAATGCAATGGTTAAAGTGGAGTTTGGAGAGAGAAGTCTCGGCGAATCTCCGAAGGTGGACTGTACAGCTGAAACTCCAGCAGAGTTTAATTACAATGCCACTATGAGTTGTACTTATGATGATCCTACAGCTTTAGATGAGATTGCTCATAAACCTGTTGTCTGTAAGGAATTCTAGATTATAGTTTTCAATTGAATGTTGATATTTCGCTGCATTTCATATCAATTGGTCTTTTAGTTTTATTGAAGGACAGGCATGCCTTATGTTAAATTTTGCAAATGGTTAAAAACCATGCAATTAAAACTCTTATTTAAGTGATTTCGGCACATTGTAACAATGAATTTTAATTTATAAATAAATTCTACCTGCCAAGAAAAACCAGTTTCTGACTCCCTGGTGTGATTTATATACATATGTGTAATCTTATCAATCCATTACTGTAATTAATCATTCATTTCTGCATTGTGTAAATTAACAAGAGATAAATTTTATTTTTAGTGACAGTTATAGAGGTCCTTCCAAAAGAAAAGAAACAAAAAGAGGAAAAAACAGTTCTTCTTGGACAATGTACAGTTGATATGTTACCATTAGTAAAAGGTACAGTAACCCTATATCAGATTATTTTCTCAAGATAAATGTTAGAAAAAAAGTTTGATATTTATCATTCTAATATACAATGTTTGCCAAAATTTCCAATAAATTTCTGTTGATCTAAGTCATTAAAAAATGACAACGGTCCGTTATCCTGCAAGTCATATTATTTGTTTTACAACAATTGATTATCATTTAATTGCAAAATGCTAGAGATGAAAAAATGGTTTTAATGAATATTGTTAATAGCATTATCAGTTAACTTATCATTATTATTTCACTCATCATTTCTTATTAATGATGATACAATTATTGTCATTATAAATTATTTTATTATTATTTTCATTGCTATTAATTCTAATAATATTGGTAGTTATTGATGATATTACTATTATCATCATCATCATTGTCATTATTATGATTATTATTGTTATTATGATGATGATGATGATGATGATGGTTGTTGTTATTATTTTTATTATTATAGGAGAAACAAAACACAGACATACACTTATAGTAAATCCTCTCCCTGGATCACCTATGGAAACTTTACCACCAGATGCACCAAGGGTAAGAAAGTTAATGTATATAACATGTTTAGTACTCCATTTTAGACTTTAAATTTTAAAGTTAAACTTTAATTATTCAATGATTGTGTACGCACTAGATTTTTTTTTATATCTTTTACTGTATAAATTATTTGAAATTTGATTAGAAAAGCACAATTTAATTAAATATGATTCATTATACTAAATTCAGCATAGTAAGGTTTACATTATTTTCTTTTAACCACTTTTTTATTACAGCCGGAAGTAGATGTTTTGTTATCAGTGAACGAGCCTCTAGTTGATAACTCACAGATGAACGCCGGGAACCTGATGACTATTACAGTAGAAAGTCTCTTCTCTCCACCAGAATCTTGGTCAGTGACTGGTACCCAGTATGCTTATGCTGCTGCCCTGCCAGTACCTGTAAATGCTGAGGTACAGTCTACAACTTTTACATATGTCTTCCTGCTTTTCATACTTGTAGTTAGATAATTTTCTTGATTATTTTAAAGTGTAGAAGCAAATAATCTAGCCAGTGGGATTTCAATGATATTTAAAGGCACATTAAGCCACAGAAATGACTTCTATTTTACCTCTAAGGAAAAGGCAAACATGAATAAGGATATAAGTAGCTGAAAATAAAATGTCACACCTTCATTAATGAATTGTCAATCACTGATTTACTGAGAGTGAATATTGAAAACTTTTATTGTATCATTGTTTACTTATGATTGATCAAATTTCTTAATAATTACATTTTTAAATTGAAACTGAAGTTGATTTCTATATTCAAACTTACATCAAATTTCTTTGAAAGTTTGCATGTTTTGTTATTTACTTTAACCAATTTTGTTTTTAGAAAGAAACACCCATTGTTTTTGCAAATGGTATGTTGAAACCTGGAATAGATAAAGAAGTGCCAAATAAACAGAAGAAATGGGCAGTCCCAGCCACTGCTCAGGGCAATGCTATTTATATACCAGACCAGTAAGTGAAAGCTTTAACATGATATAGGATCACATATTTAATGTAACTATTACAGTACTGTATTGTATTTATTTGACTTTACCTGTTTTGATATTAGAACTGTCCACTTATGGGTTTGTCACCAGTATAGAGCTTGGTTAGATTGTGCAAATAAACAGTCTGGTATGTTTCTATACTGGTTGCATTATTCTTAAATGGAGTGTTCCAAGGAAAAAATGTTCACAAAAATAGTCTTTAAGTGTAAGAATAGGAAAACAATGAGCATATAAAATGTTATTTTATCGGAAGTTTTGAATAAAGACAAGGGGCGTATTATTTCAGATTTATTGCCCAAGATGCAATAGAAGATGAGGATGGAGATTTCCGAGGAAAGGATGACAGAGAACATAGAACGATCGCAGAACAGGAGAAAAATAGATGTACATGGAATACTGAACGTCGGTCATACCTTGAGGGTAGTGCTGTTAAGAGGTATTTCATATGAATTATAGTATTACAGTAAACCCTGTTTTTGTTGGACCATTATGAAAATACAGTGCAACCCCTGCAAAGTATCACCCTCCAAGGGACAAAGATTTTAGTTGTTACTGAGAGATGTTAATTTTTTAGAAGTTAAAACTCTTGCAAAGTTCTACTTTGAGCAATACTGAAAATGTTGTTGTATTAAGAAGCGATTGCTCTTAAGAAGGCCACTGTGGAAGTTGCACTGTGTTCTGTAATTGTACTGTTTGTGCAAGTTTATCTTTGTCCGAAGTGTATTTAAATTTAATTCATGATGGTGATTTTATACATCTATATTTATTTGTATCAAAAAGAGTTGATGGATAATAAGAATGCAGCTGTACTCGGTATTAGAGACTTATATTTTATACAGAAACTGGGTCTATGGTTTAAGAACTGAAATTGAAAGATGTACATTGAAAAGTATACTCTTTGACAATTTTTGCTTTCAACAGAATGCTTAGATAACTAATTTACTGTGCTTTATCAGACATTTTTTATATATAAGTGTTTTACAATTTCAGTTTCCAAGACAAAATCGCCAAATGCCGTTACTGGCCATTAGAAGTAATGCGACTACCCCAACCTGCCAGTGGTAAAGGAAAAAAGGTAAATATCCCTAGTGCATAATTAAGATATTTTTTTAATGTTGGGTGAAATAAAGTTCCAAAAACTAAACATAAATTAACATTTTCAGTTTTGATTGATTTTATGTAACATGTGTAGTAATATTCATAGTGTATATAAAGTGTTATGATGTGTAACTGATCAATTTGAATTAACAATAAATGCATGATTTTTATCAAGCATTCTTTTATTTATTCAGGATTTAGCTACAACATCTACTATTACCTGTTTCTAGCTAGTTGAGAAATGCATGCAATTTCAGATCATTTCTATATCAAAGTATCAAACATGAAATATATTTCTTCATTTAGATAGTGTACAGCTTTTTTAAGTATTTGCATGCTTTGCACTTTAGAATTATATATAAAGACATCCCTACATAATATCATTGTACTTTTTTTCCATTTTCATTTGAGAATATTATTTTTTTTAAAGCATGAAATGCAATGTTCTTAAACAGATATTAAAATTAATTTCCTGAATATATCAAAAAGTCATAACCTAATTGATTTATTAACTTGGTTTAATTGAAGCAAGTAGCAATGTGTAAGAATCTATTTTTTGCAGCTATCTATAAAGTCACCTATAAAATAGATGCATCATTGACTTATTCCCCTATTAAGGTCTGGAATATATATTGCTACAGTAAACTCCGCTTATAACGAACTCATTGGGACATTCAAATTCTGTTCCTTATATCCGTAGTTCCTTGTAAGCATATAGCGAATTAGTTCCTTGTATCAGGAGTTTTTATAGCGAACAGATTTACATATAACAAACTGATTGTTAAACATCGTCCGCCATTTTAAGAGCATTTGATTAAGAATAATTAATCATTTATTTCTTTTTTAGACACAATACCCGAGAGCGTACATTTTGGAATTTGAAAAAACCTTGCTATTTCAGTTTTTAGTTTTACTCCCTTTCTCAATTCTTCATAAAACATCATTTTTGTTTCTTAATCACTGCACTGTGCTTTTCGTTTTTTCTTTCAATGAATAAGAAATAAACAAGATTTTCCATTTTTCTTCCTTTTATATTGAATATCTTCTATTATATTTTAAGGGTGACTTTTAACTAATATATATAGATTTCTTTTCATTTCATCAAGCATACTTTGTAGTTTTTCTATGGATTATGTTTGCAAGCATGCGTGATTAATGTTGAAAACCGATAATTATTTTACTCGAGCAAACTATTAAAGAAAAGAAATTATAGAATAAAAGGAATTACCGTTTTATCTTTGTGACAAGAACTCAAGCTAAAACAATTCTAAATAGAAAACTATTACATACTTCTATACAAATTCATTTTCATATATTGAATTACATACAACAATAAACGGTACATTCCGCGAGTTTTATTCCGTGCCAATGAAAACGAAAGTTGAAAATGCGGGATATATTTACGAATAGACGATATTTGGAGTTTGTTATAAAAGTGTAATTTTATGCACTTTTAACTAAATTGGGACTAAGAAATGAGTTCCTTATAAGCGATAATTCCTTATAACCGTGTTCGCTATAACCGTATATTTTTATATGAAATAAAGAAGGGCAAAATTCGGGCCAAAATAAATTGTTCCTTATAACCGGAGGTTCGCTATAACCGTGTTCGCTATAAGTGAAGTTTACTGTACATAAATTTATGCATTATTGATTTATACCTTTTGATGACCAAAAATATGTTAGCTACATCAGTGCATTATTGATAAATTCCCATTTAGGGTTTTGAAGAGCTACAAATTTGTTAGCTACATAAATAATTGATTAATTCTCCTTTGAAGAGATGACAATATGTTAGCTACAACAGCACATATTAATTAGTTCATCTTAAAAGAGCTACAATATGTTAGCTACAAAAATGAATTATTGATTAATTCTCCTTTCAAGAGACAATATGTTAGCAAGACAGTATGTTAGCTACATCAGCATATATTAATTTATTAGTTCATCTTAAAGGAACTATAATATGTTAGCTACATCAATGAATTATTGATGAATTCTCCTTTAAAGTGTTACATCAATGCATTATTGATTAATTCACCATAAAAAGTTGAAGTTTGTTAGCTACATCAATGCATTATTGATTATTTCACCATAAAAAAAGTTGAAGTTTGTTAGCTACATCAATGCATTATTGATTAATTCAACTATAAAAAGCTTCAAATATGATAGATTTAATGGTCTTTAATTATCTTTAAACATAACAAATTATATAACAGAAGCAAGATGACCATGCAGATACAAAGAAAGGGGTAAATTCTTTCTTTTAACTTTGTTTTCTAGAATTGACCAGACAAAATTCTTTCTTTCAGGAGTGATTAATATTTACCAGAATATATTATACCTTTGTGTTCACTAATGAAATACATGTATACTAGTTTTCACAAAATAAGAGAATATTTTGGTTAATATACATGTACTAGTAGTTTTCACAAAATGAAGAAATGTTTTTGTTAGATGTAGTTTACACGGAATGAATTAATGTTTATTAGTTCTAGAGTGTCCAAAGCATGAAATTTAGTTTTCTTGGAATCGTATTTCATAGTTAAAGAATGGTACAAAATTGTTTAAAGGAACTCTACTGAGGTCCAAAAGCTTAAAAGTATGAAATTTGAATTCCTTACAAAGAACATCTGGGACACTTAAAACGAAGATATGCAAATGATAATTAAGAAATATACTCAGAAATAAATTGAAAATTGTATTTTCATGCTATACAATAAATTTTGGGTCATTTTGCACTACATGCAGTAGAATAATTATTCTTGACATACAGAGAGAGCGAATGATCTGAAATTTTGCATACAAGTTATTGGTTTAGACCTATATCAAATGGAGCATTTACCTCGAAAAATAACTTCCAGTTCCCTCATGTTAAAAACCACAGTGGAATTCCTTTAAATTGTTCTTTTTTGCAAAAGCTAAGACATTTTTGTGCCAAGTCTTCAGTGTCTGTATCTACAAAGAGAGAAAAACAAATAATGACACGTTTCAATTCAGTGATCATTGAAATATTCACTTTATCATGTCCTAAAGTGGGGCATATATCAATAATAATGGCCCCTGTATTAAAATAATGCTCCTTAGTAACCTCCTTCCAGTTCATGCATATTGTTACCTTAGTGCAGTAACAGGTTTACTCCTATTAAATTATATAATGAGTTAACCTGTTACTGCACTAAGGTAACAATATGTGAAGGTATATGTTTATTTAAAAGATAAAAAAGATCAACCTTGGTTATGATATTTGAAGTTATTATGAAGTTATAAAAAGTTATTTAAAAAACTAGCAAATTTTATCTACATTTCATAAGTAATTTTGTAATAGAAGCCGGCATTTTTGTAGGTCACCGACTCATCATTTAACTGTTGTTCAATGCCCAACCATTTTTCACCATTCCAGATTATCCATTTTTTTTTAAAAATATTAAAAATGGCTATGAAGTTTATTTGAGGTATTTTTGCTTCAACAGCCAGATGAACTTTTTGTAGAATGTGTGAGTTTTATTTTGTACAGATAATTATTTGGCAGTAGATGCCAAATAAAATATATTGTACTATATCATGTGGCATTAAATAGGAACACATAAAAACTGTGAACTCTCCCACTTTAAGCAGGGCCTCAGACTCACACTTTCTGCAGCCATATTTTCAAAAAAAAAATCTTAAAATAAGGGGTGTTTTCACAAATTAAAGAAATCTCCCTATTTTTGATGTCAGAACATCCTTTGTTTATTGCAAATTCTAAAATCACCCTCTTCTAGAATAAAAATCTCCCACTTGATGATCGAAAAAAGTTCACATGTATGTAATATTTCTTAAATTAATTGCTTAATCTTACATTTTGTTCACAAAATTGTTAGATTAATGTTATCAGACTTTTTAATCACATTCAAAAATTTTTAGAAACTGCAAGTGAACTCTGTCAAAACACCACCTCTAAACAAAGGCCATATTATGTCAAACCTGTATAAAGAGGCCAATCTGTTTGTTTTACAAAACCAATAAACAACCAACAGTTTGTGACTTTACCTGCATTAAGGCGCTACCTTTGAAGGAAAACCATTTTAAAGACAGCACAATGATCAATGGCCACTTTGTTCAGGTTATGTAGGGAATTCCAATTTGAAATTCTGCTTAAAAAAAACAAAAAAAAAACGAAACTTGCACATTTTCCTACTAGTAGTAGCACTAAAGTGATAGCCATAAAAATCTACACTTAATTACAAAGAATTTAGAGCATGATTATGCAGATTGTATAGAGATTACTCACTATTGTTTTACACAATTTTGTACAATAGGGAAATGGGCCTCGTAAGGTTGGTTGAAAGTGCACCCTAGACATCTGAACTCCTGTACTTCTCATTCTCTTTTGAGTGCAGTGATTATCTATATTTCCTTTTTCTGTTACACCTATATCTATGCATATGATGAAAGAAATACCCTGATTTGGTGTGCAACAAAAGATATTTCATTTTTATGGTATTTTCAATTAACAATTTATGCTTTGGTAGTTTAGCACGGAGGAAGGTAGTCTAGTACTGGTGTAACTCTCCAGGAACGATGGTTAGGAAACTACCCGCCTTATAATATGACTGAAATACTGTTGGGAAAAGGCGTAAAATTAAACAATCAAACAAAGACCAATGGTATTAATGCAAGACTGATCTGTACCTACAATTATTGTATAAATATGCTTTATTGCTTCTTTTTTTTTTAAGTTTTACATATATTTTTTAAAAAAATCGCTAAAGTTGATCACTGGGTTGATGAAGATGTATCAAAAAAATTACTCATAGCATTTAACAGTGCATTCAGGGAATTGGTGGAATTGTTTTCATAGAACTGCCTATTGACATATTAATTTTTGTTTTGTGAAATTATTGTAAATTTTATGTTGTTTTATGATTTATGTTCTTTGCATGATAATTGTGTGTGCCTGTGTGTGATTCTTTACAGAGTGGTGCGGTAAACAAGGTCAGTGCACGAGATAGAAACATATGTGCACGTGTATTCATTGCTTTATATAAATCAGCAGATTCCATGCATTGTATTCATAGATGAGTTTTATATGTCATTTGATGACAAGTATTTGAAAAAAAATCATAACCATAATGTAAATTGATCTGTGCAAAACAATGGTGCAGTATTAACCGCTTTTGTAAACAGACATTGCATAATAAGTTAATCAGCTGATTTATATTATATTTTACATTATACATCATTTTATAGAGCTTCCCACTCAGCTTCTTTTAGAAGTTTGAATTTCTTTATTCTCACGCAAAATTCAGTTTACAATGTTCTGCTTTTTATCCTAAATATATTGTAGAAAATCAAAATGTTTTCCTAAAATTAGTATGTTATAGAAAACTAAAATGTAAAAGAAAAAAACATGCACCTTAATTTAGTAAGACTTAGGCCATATATTGAATGGTTCTTCAAAGCTAATTTCAAGTGTCAAATTGTTTAGATTGTTAAAGATATTTACTTTGGACACAACAATAGATTTTAGGGTTTTTATTAAAAAACCCATCCCATTCACCAACATAGATATCATATATTAAAGAGACACAGAGTTCCAATAACATATATATGTAGATAAATGTAGAGTTATACAATAATTGAATATTCAATACAGATGTATCTTTATTTTGACAGTTTTCCATTTTTAGAAAATTATATTTAGGGTTTTTAATATCAAAGATGTTTTTTATCAAACTTATCCATGCTTTTGTTTTATATACAGCAAATTTATCCTTTTTACCTCAGAGCTTTGTTAACATACTATGTTTTTATTTTATATCTTATCATTACACAAAACAAGTTATTTAAAAAATAGTTACTAAAATTACTTTAGAAAATTTTCATATTTCACATGATCATATACATGAACTAATATAGAAATTAGATTTTTATTATATATTCATCATATTAATTAGTGTATTCATAATAATGATTATATCATTATATCATATAAAATATAGCTTTTTTGGTTCAATATGTTTTTTTGAATACAATATTAATACAATTAATATTTGAATAATATATATTAATATATGAATATAAATGTGATTTTCAAAATTCTGATCCAAGCCATTGTTTTATGTTTTACAATAACTTAATCAACCCATTGTTGCCCCTTTTTATATGCAATATTATAAACATTTTTTTGGAATACCTAAAAAGGTATTACAATAAAAGAGACCTTATGGTGTTTTGATATTTTCTTTTATTTCTTTCAAATTATTGTCTGTGTGCAAAAAGTGTACTGAAAACTGTGCAAAAAATGTTCAAAAAATTCATTTCTTGAAAGGTTTTATACAAGACTTTTGTATGTGGTATAAAATTTCTGTTTAAAACCAGCCAGTTTGAAGCTGGGTTTCCATGGGTTACCATGTCCCATTTTGCAACCATGGCCTTACCATTATTTATCAACATTATGTTAAAAGGCCACACAATATTTTTACCATAATTAATTCATTAATCCTGAATTGAATTTTAATGAAATTTTGCAAAGTTGGCTGAAGCTGCATGATGTAATAATGTACATGTCTACAAGTTTCAGTAAAATTTGTACATATTTATTGAACAGTGACCTATGCCTATATTGTAAACTTCAATTGCTTTTATATATAACAAACCATGAAAACAATTTTATTTCTGATTTTTTTGTGTGCAAATTTTGAATTAATGACTTGTCAAAGTCTTCTTTTATTTGAAAATTGTATCTTTAAAATTGTAATGCAACTTGTTTAAGAGAAAGAGGTTGCTAAAACGTATATGATAATGAAACGATAAGTTTCACAAATCCTCACCATAATTAAATGGTATACATGTATAATTGTCAATAAGCACTGGTTACATTGTTTACAATGTAAGGATACATTATATATGTATTTGTATATTTTTAGATGCATTTCTTGAAGAAAATTACCATTTTATTTCAGGACGATGAGGGAGCAGTGAGTTTCCATGGTGTAGCCTTTGTTAACTTAGCTCCACTTTTATATCCAGGAGGTATGTTGAAAATGAATATTGTTTTATTATTAAAACAGTTATTTGATTGGCTGTGATTTAGTCTCACAGACACTTGTAAGGTTGCGGTGACATTTGACAGTTATTACTGGTGGAGAAAGACTATATATCTCAGGAACAGGCTGTCTAGAACAACTATCCTGGATGCCGGCTAGATTATAAACTTCCTCACATGACAGACCCTCAACAGGGTTCAAACCCATTGTACCCAATTATGTACATGTAATTTGAAGTCAGTTCAAACTTCAAGCCCTTATAAAAATAATGTGAAAATTTTTGAAAGAAAAGAATCTTTAAGTCAGTAAATATGTGTAATGTTTCTAATTATAGAGGTTTTTTTTTAAATTATTAACACAGACTGCTGATTATAAATTTGTGGCTCTTTTTGTTTATTTAAACTTTATTAAAGGACTTCAATCATTTTGTGCATTTAAACGAAATTTTGATCATTGTATGGTTAGAATAAAGAAAACATATGTTTGATGTTACTTTTAACACTGTGTATCACATGTTAAAAAGTAATTCATTTTAAGAAATGTTTTGCTTTTTTTATTTATTTAAATTTAATACAAAGTATAATATTCAATTAACTATCCTTTTCTTTTTCATTATTTAGTGAAAAGAATCAGGGGTGCCTACAAAATACATTCCTACACTGATCAAGCACTAGCAGAAAAGGTAAGAAATCATTATCTAACCATTATTTTCTCTTGTATAATGTAACATTTCCCCTGCTAGAACTTAAAGTAATTTTGCCTAGAGCTAAATAGGCCAATTTCATCCATGAAGTCTTGATATCCCAAACATTGAGGGAAAATTGGAAGCTAGGCAAGTCTATAGGTTAAGGGTAAACAAAACTTTAATTACTCTTGGAAGTATGAAGAAATCATACTACCTTCCATTTATACTAAGTGTATATCGAAGGTGTATTGGCTTTATAACTTGATAATCCCATGACTTTAGATTTTGTGATATATTTTATAAATACTTCTTAAAGCATAACAATATCTTTTCTTTCTGAGCAAATTTTATATTTCTTTAATTCTATATTTATTCAGACTAAAAGAAAGATGGGACTAGGTGAGGAGGCAGCTAGAATTGCCAATAATATTCTTAACCGTAGCAGTGCGTCCCCTGGTCCAAAGAAAGGGGCCGGAGGAAAAGATGACAAGAAAGAGAAGGATGTTAAGAAAGGGGTAGGTTTTTGTTGTTGTAGTTTTCAAATTCTTCTGCCCCCCCCATTTTATATTCAAACCTTCCCCCGTGTATGTCTCTTTAATGTCACCTTAACATGTGGCTCGTCTAATAAAGCAGTTTTTTTTTCACAGATAAAATGCATGGGATTACAAAATTGTATGCGCAAATTGTTGTATGAAATGTAAAAAAAGTAAGTTTTCAGAGAAATGAATGTGATTTTTATTAATGCAGTTAGAAATTTTATAAGAGGTGAATTAAGAATTTTCATTATATTTTTACTACTTTATTTAAGGAATTTGTTCTTCTTTCACATGATATCTATATCAGATTGATTTATTAAAGCATTACTGGGAAATTCAATTCTAGACATGCTTTTGCTATTTCCTGAATACATGAATATTACACAATGTCAAGGAAACCCATGAATCAACATTCTCAATATGAGAAGATTTACCAAAATAATCAAGTCCTTGATACACAAAATTATTGATTTAAAATTTATATTTTATGAAAACTTGGGCAAGTAATTGAAAGTAATTGTTGATATTTGTCAAAAATTTGTGGTACATATTTGGTAGTAATAAATTAATGCTCAAGTGTAACACTGTTCCATATTTCAGTTGATTTCTCTTGACAATATTTGAGTTTTATGCTTCATAAATGAGCTGCGTCATGACATAACCAACATAGTGTGTTTGCGACCATCTTGGATCCAGACCAGTCTGCGCATGCGCACAGTCTGATCAGGATCCATGCTGTTCGCCTATAAACCCTATTACAAGTAGAGAAAATAAAAGCGAACAGCATGGATCCTGATCAGACTGCGCAGATGCGCAGGCTGGTCTGGATACATGCTGGTCACAAACGCACTATGTTGGTTTTGTCATGACGCGGCTCATAAATGTTTTGTTTTCGCCTAGGCTCTCACACATCAGGGTTCTCGTGTATGTATTTTTCCCTGTTAGAACTATTTTGTTGAAGAAGTTCATTTGAGTTTACTTACTTCCACTTTGTTTGTTTGAAATAGAATTTTTATTACAAGATAAATCAAGAATATGCTTTCTTGAGTTCAAATGATTATGCAAAGATTACTTAACCAAGCTTTTTTTATGCATGCTGCATTTCACAGCATGGCATATTTTTTCATTTAATCAACATTTTTCTTTTTTTAATCGATGCATGAAATTTTCAAAGTAATTATTTAACTGAATTTTAATAATTCATGTTCAGCAGAGAAATGATTCTTTGTAAACAAAAACAAAAATGTCTACATTGTTCATAGTATGTAACTTAAAATACAGTTCTCATCTGAGCTGTTAGTTATTTTGAAATTTACATAACAAGGAAGTGCCTTAATGGCTAAAAACACATGGTTACAGATTTCTGACCTCTAATCCCTGCTCTGTTCTGAGTTTGATTCCATTACTGGTACTGTGCAAGGAACCAACTGGTGTCTGTAATAGCCCTCATGGTCACAGATTTTTTACAGCATAACCTTGCCCTGCTGATGGTTTAACCCTGCCCTGCTGTTGTTTTAACTCTGCCCTGCTGTTGTTTTAACTCTGCCCTGCTGTTGGTAATTGACCTTGTCCTGCTGTTGGTTAATACATTTGTACTGCCCTGCTGTTGTTTTAACTCTGCCCTGCTGTTGGTAATTGACCTTGTCCTGCTGTTGGTTAATACATGTACATTTGTACTGTCCTGCTGTTGGTTTTATTCTGTCCTGGCTGTTGGTAATTGACCTTGTCCTGCTGTTGGTTAATACATTTGTATTGCCCTGCTGTTGGTTTTATTCTATTTCTGGTTCTGCTCAATCTGCTGATGCCTGAACTAATGTTGGTATCTGAAATAATACTAGATCATCAAGGCATATATCTATATTCTTTCATTAAAGTTTCTATCTATCTTTGCCAGTGTAATTGATACAGTTTAAAACCCAAATTAAAAAAATATTATTTGAAAGATTTTATACATAAATAAAAATCAGTGCCATTCATGTAGAATGGTAAAATTCTCATTAGTGATTCTACCATATAGTTAAAAAGTTCCTTCAAGTATTGACTCAATTCCACGATCCCTGGATTCTCGATAGTTAAAAAGTTCTTTGAAGTAACAACTCTCAATTCCACAATCCCTGTAAAAAGTTCCTTGAATAAATGACCCAATTCTACAATCTCTGGATTACCACAAAGCTAAAAAGTTCCTTTAAGTAAAGACTCATTCCCACAATCCCTGGATTGGGAGGCAATGATCCTAATAATAAGGCCAACATTCCCCCTCTTTTGAGCTGGTGAGAACCATAACCCAAATTTATGTATAAAATAAGTTTTGATGATATTTATCAGCATTCAAGACAAGATGATTCCAGGGTATGTTGTACAATATTTGAAGTGATAGGGAAGGACTTCCTTTCTGTCTTCCTAAGTTTATTCTGTAGTAAAGAAAATGGCTCAAGATTTGATTGGATTTTAATTTTCTTTTCAAAGAAAAAGATGCACTTTATATTTATTTTCTGTTGTTTTTTTTTTTTTTACATTTTGTTATCATTTTGGTTTTTTCAAGACAATTAAAATCAAAATAGTGATAATATGTAAAATAATCAGACCTTTTTTATTATTTCATAGAGTTTGATTTTTTTTTATTTAGTAGTCATGATATTTTGATTTAACAGAATAAGTTCGTGTAATTTCGAATACAAAAATAATCATACAAGAATGTCATCACAATATGAAAATTCAAATATCATCTCAATGTTGCTGTTAAAATTAACAAAACAGTTTTTAATAGTAAATAATTGTTCCCCATATGAGTTTCTTAGTAAAAAAAGCTTTACATGATTTGTATTCTTTTATTTTGAAAGTTTTGTTAATTTTGTAAACAATATATTAAATTGTCGTCATTTTTTTTAGTGGACACAAACCATAACAATTTGATAATTTCCATGCACAGTCTTAAAGGTCCTGGATTTTGGTGGGAGTGTTCTAACCTGTTTTTCCAACTGCTTTTTCTATGTAAATTTGTATTTCCTTTAAAAATATTAAATGATTTAGCGACGTTATTAAATTGTTGTTAAGGATTTAAAGTGTCTTAATATTAAACTATTATGAATGGATCAAAGCACTTTTTTTTGGAAATTGCAACTTTTAAGATATAAGATTTCAAAGGGATTTTATTCATATTCATTCTAAGAAAGAGATAAAACTTTATTTCCACCTTTTATTTTACTCATTGATGTTATGGAGATAATAGTTCATTGTTTATCTATTTATTTACTTTTTTTTATTTTGTGTTTTTTTTTTTCTGTATGTTTACCAAGAGTAGTTTCCCCTTTCTTTGTTTAGTTGTCCATGTATGATTTCACAGTTATTGTTTCCTTGTTTGCAGAGATCCAATAGTATAGCACAAACACATGATACCGAGGTTTGTAATCATGATCTCACTTTTATGATGTCACTTCCTGTGCATACTTGTCAGCACCGTGTTGTCACATATGACATCATATCTCACAGTGTTGTCACATTTTTTTCTGCATTTTTTTGTGTGTGCAAAATCTTTTTTTTTTAAAGAGATGTGCGTGCACCAATGTCATCATAATCAACATCATTCCTGATTTGCATAATATATTCTTTATGATTTATAAGTTTGCTGAATGAAATTAATTTTGTGTAAATATTGTTTAAATATCTGATTGATAAGTTTAAGGTATAACTTCCATCTTAAGTTTATGAAAATTTTGCTTTCTTCATAAATTTTCATATATGATATGACCTGGTGAGGAAGAACAAAAAAAAAAACAGAATAGGAATTTGACAAAAAGTATTTGAGTCAAGAAAAATATACTTGTTTCCTTATTAAAAGAATGGTGTCTCCTTCATATTGCGATGAGTTTACAAAACAAAAGCACTTAGCTGTAGAAAATGGATTTTTAAGGGCAAATACAATATTTTCCCATTCAGAAGTTGAAAGTTAAAAATGTACTTGTATGCTACTTGAAATTATTTTCAGATGAGCATTATTATAGTTACGGTATTAGTTTGCCATTCAGTCTTTCCATCCTACCATAGCACTTTCCTTATCTCTTGACTAGTATGCATCATAGACCTTTATGTAATCTGACATGGGGTTTCAGATCAAATGGGTCAAGGCCAAGGTCACTTATACTAAAAATACTTTCCTTCAACACACCGTATTACCGGTGCCAGTGATGGCAGATCACTGTAGTGATGTCAGATAGCTGAAATTTACTGCTCAGTACAGGTAGGTTATAAATTTGGTTGGTATTATTATATTACACAAATACGGCCCATTTTATTGCTATGAAATTATTCTCCATTGATTGAAGATACTATTAGGTAATTTTGGACTCGTTTTTTCCTGTTTTTAGACTATTTTGAGCAGGTTAAAAGTGACAGCTTCGGAAAAATCTGTAAAAATGTCTGTTTTTTGTTCAAAATATCTCGAGTTTCAAGTAAATGGCAGGATTTTGTGTTATTAATATAGACATTTATCCATTAGGGTCATGCAAGCCATACATCTACCCCGTTAGTCTTTTCTTGAAAGTTTAACAGATGTTCAATCTGGTCCGGTCGAAGTAAAATTGCTGCCTTTGTAGGCAGATACTTATTTTAAATGCTGCCGTCGATGGCAGAAATAACATGAAAGTGGCTAACATTCTGACAGAAAATCAAGGTAAATCTTTTGTCAATTCCTCAATTCTTTGCATCCTTTCAGTTGGTATTGAGATGTTAAACTATCATTTCTAATATTTTCTCAAGATAGAAAAGTATGGCATCGAAAAAGCTTTTTAGCAACACGCAGTTACAATACAAAATGTGATGATCCAGTACGACCAGATTGCACTACATGTATAAATAGAGCAATTAACATGAAGAAATTCATTTTTCTATATTCATGCATGTGTGTTTGATCTGTTGTGTCTGTCAGTTACATGCATACAATGCCATATGTATCTTAAGTTTAGCAGTGCATAATTCACTACCTTTTCAAGACATATCGCCATTTGCATATTACAGCGAGTAACTTCAGTAAATGGATTTTCATTTACTTGCATATGACATTATTTTCTCGAGGTAATAATGTTCAGCATATTTACTTCGACCGGACCAGATTGAACATCTGTAAAACTTTCAAGAAAAGACTCACGGGGTAGATGTTTGGCTTGCATGACCCTAATGGATAAATGTCTATATTAATAACACAAAATCCTGCCATTTACTTAAAACTTGAGATATTTTGAACAAAAAACAGACATTTTCACAGATTTTTCCGAAGCTGTCACTTTTAACCTGCTCAAAATAGTCTAAAAACAGGAAAAAACGAGTCCAAAATTACCTAATAGTATCTTCAATCAATGGAGAATAATTTCATAGCAATAAAATGGGCCGTATTTGTGTAATATAATAATACCAACCAAATTTATAACCTACCTGTACCGAGCAGTAAATTTCAGCTATCTGCCATCACTGCAGTGATCTGCCATCACTGCGGCTGGTAATACGGTGTGTTCAAGGGAAGACAATATTTCACAGTGAATAAATGGATTTGTATACTTCCTTCGCAAGAGAGGTGCAAGTTAAAATATATAATTTTGCTCTCAAGAAAGTTACAGTGATAAGAAGTAGCAGATGCGTGTGTATGCAAGACATATTACACAATGAAGTGTATATATATGTTTGCAAGACATGGTAGGTTAAAGCAACATTATGGAGCATTCACTGATGTAATCACATTTAAAATATTCTTGTTTCTCTGTTTGACATTTGGGAGAAGCAGTAAACCAGTCACTATATTTCACTCTCATTCACAAAGTGTTGTCTTTGTATACTTTATATAACAGATGAGTTTGACTGTGCCAGAGGTAAATCTGTAGTTGCACTTGTTTAGAAACATTTGAAATGATTATTTACACATGGAAAATATTAAGCACTGGCTTTTCAAATGCTATGCTTGTAGTTATGTATGTATAATAAATAGATTTCTTTTTGCCAATGATGGGGTTTGTGGAAGGTAAGAGGGATGGGAAGGGGGGAGAGGGGGGATTTAAGATATAATTTCTAAAATTTGTGACATTTTAATTATCATTTTAATGGCAGAGCATATTATTGCAATTTTATCTTGTGATAATTAGTCTTAGCATTCTTAGATGGTATTAACTGTCAATTATATATGGAGAAAGATATTAAAAACTGCTCAGATTCTTTTTTCAGTTGTTATACATTTTGGTGTCTCAAAGTATTGCCTAGGATATCAGTAATATGATAATGAAATTGCTTGTAATTCATGCAGAATAGAGAATTTTAGGCACAAAAAAATCATTATCAACAGAGTGTTAAAAAGTATGTTTTAAAAGTGGGTGGGGAAGTGAAATATTAAAACATGTGTAAATTTTTATTTCGAATGTACAAATAAAAATTATAGATGGACAGAAAAAACAAATGGAGTTGTACAATACAGTATTGTGCATGATAATTTGATGTAGAGAATTTTATGATCAGAATTAAAACCTGTAGCTTATATGTTATAATACTGTTTATATAAAATGCTTAAGGCTTACAGTATTGCATGAATTTTGAATTTTATGATTTCAGCAAATACAATGCTTGGTGACTGTCTTAAGATAGGGTCTTGTATACTCGCATGCCTTAATTTAAATTCTATGGAATTACGTCTGCTTATACTCAAAATCCAATTTAGTGTTATGACCTAACTACATGAATTTTGTATAATAATACAAGTTATGTTTTGTCTATTTGATATTTGGTACTCATTGTATGCTGTTTTAGTATGTTCAATTTTCTAAAATATGTACTGCTTGCAGGGCTTTTCACAGGTTGGTGAAGCAGCCCTGCCCTTAATTTTGAGGGAAAATTACACATTATATTTGCAAAAGGGGAAGAAAAAACTTGATGTTAATTCAATTTTTGGGGAAAATTGCATGTTTTTAAAGAGTTTTTTGGGGGGAAGCAGCCCTATAATAGCCCCTGCTATAGAAGGAAAAAAAGCCTTGGCTTGTTATAGCAAATGCTTATTGAGCACCTTATAGTGTTAGGAACACTTTGCATATTTTACATGTATGTTAGATTGCAAAAAAATAAAGCTTTTTAGGCAGAAATTAAAAAAATTTGGGCACAAGATCTTAATAATCCTGCTGGCAGCATGCGACCAATGCAGACCAAGATCAGCAGGCACATCCTTGCAGTATGATCATGGCCGGCACTGTTTGATATTCTGTCAGTACATATTTTGAAATTTTCCCTTAAAATGATAAATGGTTTTGTCTGCATTGAAAGATGGACAAGTCCATTTAAGATGATTAGAGTGGTTACAGGCTCTGATAACTTGGGACAGTCATCATATAATGTAGATGTTCATTAAACGCATGCATTTTCATCATAAATCATAATATTATTGGTAATATTTAAAACCTTATCTTTATAAATTTTGCAAAACCTTGATAATTGTTCTTAATCTTGTGTGTGCATGTAATTTGTTTGTGTTATGTAAATGTTAAATTCTTTCTTTATTCTTCTGTCTTAGAGACTTTGACTGAGAGAGCTGCATGTTTGTAATAATATTGTTGATATTGTTTTATTGTTGTAAGATGTGTCTGCCATGCTCATAATCAAACAAGTATTAATGGGGAAAATGGCAGCTACTCATCTCTGATATTTTTCAGGAAATAAAAATCGGGGAAAAAATGTGATTTATCACAACAAAATTACATGAAAATTGCCACCTTGGTTTGATTGAGTCTGTACATGAGGGATAATGAAAAAATTCAGCATCCCTCAATATAAGATATCAGATTAATGATGAATATAAATTTGAATTTGATGTTTGCAAATTTTTGAGGAATTTTCAAGTTTTAGATAGATACTTTGATGTGAGGGAATGTAATAAAAATGAAAAATTGAATTATATTCAATATTTTGGTAAATCAAATATTTAACACCAGTAGCTTGCTTTAACTGCTTGATGATAGTCAAAATATTAAACATCCGTTAGATCTTAACATGCTGGGACACAAAGTGCTTTGTTTTTGGCACCAGTATAGAGCTAGGCCAACCTCAACTTCTGTGCAGTTTGAGTGAGCTCTATATTGCTGGTAGCTGAATTTTTGTATTTAAATATTAGAATTTTGAATAGTTTTCCAAAATCTAAACAGAGCGAATTCAGTACAAAAATTCAGGGTGTAAATGGGTAATCAACATTTTAACTTAGCTGCTTGCATGAAAATTATTTAGGCGATTGCATGATTTAGGTCATACGCTGCTTTTCGAAAAAGCAAACACTGCCATTTTCCCTGTAGGTTTTAATACTTTGGTGATAAAAAAAACGAGAATGTACAAGCCTGTTTTTGTTAAAATGGTTGTGATATTAATTGTTATGTTTGTGTATCAGGATCACGACACACATGCCAAGGATCATCATGATCACAAGAAGGTAACAACTACGGTAGCTGTAACACCAGAGTTATTCCACGCATAAAAATACCACACAATATGCTTTGTTCGTGTTTTTTACTTTTTCGTGCAAGGAAAACAGACTGTATTATATAACATTACATAGAGAGTTTTTTTTTAATACGTTATTCATGTATTGCACACGTTTTTTTTGTGGACTTGGAACTATTTATCAATCACAAGTGGTCTCAATACTGCCTCTGTGTTAAGTGTTGAATCCTCCAAAAAATAAAACCCTGTGTGTTTAATTTTCATTTCGACATAAATTTTGTGTTGTATTTTTTTAGCCGACTGTAATATTTGTATGCGATGCATACAAATTTTACATACGTAGCTTTGTCATTTTTCTGGTATAAGGAATGCATGTGTCAACATTTTTAGGTATTATTCAGAATTTTCAGTGAAATGTCTAATACACTATATATATGGCTTAATTAAAGGACAGCATATGACATTGTATGTATGTCTACCTTAATATACATGTATTTAATATTCACATATTTTGCTTCATTCCTAACAATGGTTTATGGAATGCATGTGCAGTATTCTTCTTAAAGAGTTTATAGGCACTTTGAATATCAAAAATTACAGGAAAGTCATATACATGTAGATTGATATACAAAATATTTTGGATATAAAGGAAGAAAATGAATTTTAAAAAGATCCAACTTACTTCTAATAGAAAGGGAGATAATTAATCTGGAAAGATCTAGCATATTCTAATCTAAAGGGAGCAAATTAATCTTAAAAAAGATCCAGCATATTCTTATATAAAGGGAGATAATAAATCTTTAAAGGATCTAACATACTCTAATATAATAAAGGGAAATCCTTTGTAGGCAAACTAAAATAATAACCAAATCTGGAAACTTTAACCATTCATGGGAGTCACTGAGTATACAAGAACGTTGTTGTAAGAAATAATGATTTACTATCAAAATTTAAAGGGAGATCATTCAAGTTTATATTTAAATTTAAAGGGAGATAAAAGTAGCATGATAGTAAGTATATTTGGGACAGTTTTTGTGCTGTTATTATTCCAGTACCAAGCTATGGATATTTTAGTACATCGTATTTCAGTACTCTGTCAAAGTTTATTCCAAACTCTTACAAATTTGCTTGAACTTGTGCAATACAAGGCTTTCAACTATGAAGTTTAAGTCTTTCGGGAATTTCACTTTCAAAATCAACTCAGTCAGCTAACATTATAGAGCCTGGTCAGACTTTATGACAAATGTTTTGCAATTTTAACATGGTATTAAAGGGGTATTTGTAATTTGTTAAATTTTGACTGTGTTTTATCAATGTTTTTTTTTGTCATAGAAGATTATTTTCCTTAAAAAAAAAGCAATTTTTATTAGTGAATTTTATCTGTATGTACAAAAATGCTTATAGATTAGTACCAGAAGTTTCACTTCAAATACAGAATGTACTTGAAAAATGTTGTCCCCACTCTTGCTTAGATTTGCAACATAAATAATATATATTGCTCAGAGAATTGATTGGCGCATTTGATTTTTTGGGGGTGGGGCAAGGGTGCTAGGATTTTTGCAATGGTACTGGCATGATAACATTTTATTTATGCCGTGTCCCGTCAGAGTGAGACTTTGAATTATGCCAGCTTAGCTTACGTATCTCAGGATCCCTGTTTAAGTCTGTCGTCTGCAAGTCAATAATATCTTTTTAGATATATCTGCAAAGCTTTTGTATTATGTTTTATTTGGGTTTTGAATGGGCTTATGAATAGCTTTTAAATTTTAAAGCACAAATTTCAGGGTGTTGAAGTTATATCGTGTTAAAATAGGAGACTGTACAATATTATCTCCCTTGCGCAGCGATTTAAAAAGCTTATTTTAACATTTGTTGTTTTTTAGTTTTGTTGTTGTTGTTGCTGTAAGCAATAAATAACAAGTCAAAATTTGCTTTAATAAGCTTCAAGTATATAAACGTTTCATATATGAATTAATAAATTGAATATAAAAAAGCATTTTTAGTTTAAGTTATAATTATGTCTGTATGTGGAATGTACGGTGGCAGTTGTGTGCCATCACTGGTGGCACAAGTTAAGGAAAATGGCACATGCCAGCTTCTATAGCAATATTTTTTTTTTTTCTCACATTGCAAAAAAACTTAAGTGGAAATGATGAAAAAAAATGCAGTCTCACTATAATTTATAGTATATAATTTCAGATTAATAACTTAATGTAATATAATTTTAGATAAATTAAACTAGTGGGAATGTAACTTCAGATTAATAACATGTAGGAATATAATTTCAGATAAATGACTTGTAGGAATATAATTTCAGATAAATGACTTGTAGGAATATAATTTCAGATTAATAACTTGTAGGAATATAATTTCAGATTAATGACTTGTAGGAATATAATTTCAGATTAATGACTTGTAGGAATATAATTTCAGATTAATGACTTGTAGGAATATAATTTCAGATTAATTACTTGCAGGAATATAATTTCAGATTAATGAATTGCAGGAATATTATTTCAGATTAATGACTTGTAGGAATATAATTTCAGATTAATGAATTGTAGGAATATAATTTCAGATTAATAACTTGATGGAATATAATTTCAGATTAATAACTTGATGGAATATAATTTCAGATTAATGAATTGTAGGAATATAATTTCAGATTAATAACTTGATGGAATATAATATCAGATTAATAACTTGATGGAATATAATTTCAGATTAATAACTTGATGGAATATATTTTCAGATTTATAACTGGTAGGAATGTAATTTCAAATTAATAACTTGTAGGAATGTAATTTCAGATTAATAACGTGGTAATTAAAGTTAGTAGAATTAATAACTTGACAATTAAAGTGAGTAGAATTGGAGTTTATTGCGCATTTTATATTGTTTTTATCGTTCAGTTATAATGTTACATTAGTTCTGGTAAAAAGCCACAAGAAATTAAGGCATTCTGATGTGCATGAAAGTTTGAACTTTTTTCATCACAATAAAAGAGTCAAAATCACAACAGCAACAATAGAAGAAAGAAAAAAGGGGAAAAAAGAAAAACATTTAAGAAGGGACAAGAAATTTTTTTTTTTAACATTTATTCAGAGCACATGCACTTTTGATAGTTTTAAATATAGTTGTTGTTTAATGATTGTTCTAATTATATTCACATTTCGTGACTTCATATCTTTTTTGTGTTTGTTATATCACAATGTTTGTTATTGTCTCAAACTAAATCAAATTTATCAACAATCTTTAAGTTCTTTTGTATATTTCAGAGCATAATATAGTATTCATCAAAGTTCATTTGTAATAACAGAAATAACCACTCAGAATAATACTTTGTTATTGATATTACCATTTTTTCCCAATAATGATTTATACTGTTTGCCTGTAAATCTCAATTGCCAATCAAAACTGTTGAATTTGACTTTATTTGTATCATTCTCAAAACAGGTCAAAACCTCTATAGCAATTTTATTAAAGTGTAACTTTAAATTTTTTTAAAGTGGAATAGATTTCAAGACAGACAAATTTTTGACATTTGATTGGTCAGTTGTGGTCACACAGTTTAAATTTAAATGAACCAATGGCTAGGAGGTTGTTTTTTTTTGTACAGATAAAAGTCAATCATGGCTGTTTTGATTCATTGTCCGTCAATGAATTGAAATAACATGCACGTATTCCCTGTTATTTTAGACGTCACAGACGATAAAATCTGACGCAGGCTCAGAGCATGAAGCCCAAGCCCCGGTCAACCTTGAAGGTCAACAGTATGTTGATTCCAAGTCATACATCATGTTTGAGATCCGTCTAGAAAAACCACTCATCCCAAAACGGCCCCCAGAGGAGCTCGCACGTAGAGTCGCAGAGTACATCCCTCCAAGACCATTGTTCCCAAAGAGAACTGATGGAGCACAGAGGGTAAGTATCTTGTTTTTCAAATTCAGTCAGTATACTGAAGATTACGTTGTAACTTAATCATAAGATTTTGGTAGAATTTTAAAAATGCCTAATGTGTTATAAAAGATAATTAGTATCTACCAATTAAATTTTAAAAATCATTCATGTCAATGTTTTACAACAACCTTTGCGTAGCTAGTGAGTTATATAGTCTAAATCAATTTCTAATGTTAACTTAAAATGAATAAATTATGATTCAAGCATTATTTTAATGCAATAAAACATGTGTGCATGATCATTTTGCTAAACATTTATGTCTTGGCCAAAGCAGTTTTCAAATATTTAACAATATTTCATTCATTACCAGGCAGTTGAAGACTTCCACACCCAAGTTTCCAGTGTTGCTGGTCTTGTCCTTGATGAATTCAGGTAAGAATTTTGATCATGAAATTCTTAAGGTTTGTTAACTCTTTAACCTGCTGGAGTGATTAGCCTTTGCTACTTGATTTTATACTGTTAAAATTCCTGAAACTTTGAATGTACTGTTCCAAATTCAAAGCTTGGCAAATGCATTGCAGAAGTTCAGCAGGTCAAAGAATTATGCCAATGTCAAGTTTTTAATTTATGCTATATATAAAACAGGTTTTATACTCATAATAAGGTACAATGATGTAATGTTTATTTCTATGTATCTTTTGCATATAATTAAGACAGTAATGACAGTTGTGACAATATAGATATTATAAAAGTTCAATATTTATTTATTTGATAGGGACATGTTTGGGGATGAGCTCAGAACAGATGAAAATATTACCCAGGAGGCCATGGAATCTAGGTAGGTTTTTATTTCTTATTATGTAGTTATCTTTGTGAAATTCTCATATTCTTGTTAAGTTGTTTAGCCATTAACGAAGTCTGCCTGCTTAGCTCAATAGAGAGAGTATCAGATTTGTAAACCATTGAGCCCTTGTTTGGTCCTCTAGCATGTATAAGAATTTCTTTGTGACAAATGATCTCAAATTAGTGATTGGTAATATGTCACTTCCAGAGAAATTGGTAATTACTGGTTAGTTATCCAGGAGCGCTGTTGCCAGACTGGCCACTGAGATAAAACCAAATGTGTTAAAATCTGTGTGAAAACTAACAAACAAACAAAACAAGTATTTATTTGTTTTATACAGCAGATCATTGGTTAAATACCATGAAATGTTACTTTAAGTGCTTGAACTTTGCTATTAAATTATCGTTATTTAGGTTTTATATTAACATTGCATCTTGATTTTATCTTTTGAGAGTTTAAAGAATATTATATAGAATACGGAGCTTAACTGCTTATAGCTTGAAATGCTTATACCAATTTGTTTCTCTACATTTTGCATGCTTTTTTTTTTTTTAAACTTCTGGTCATGCATCATAATATTATATACTGTAGACAAAATTGTAATGAAGGTTTTTTTTGGTTGCAGACGGCAGAAGTTAATCTATGAGCTGAATGCATCTGGGAAGTATTTTGCCTTCAAGGAACAGTTAAAACACTCTGTTGTGAAAATTGTTAGAGAAAAATATCTGAAAACAACAAACTTTGAAGACAGACAAGAGTTGCAGGTACTGAACAGGTTCCAAATTGTAATGGAATTATAATTAGTATAGAACAAGGATTAAAATTTTACTCTTAAAATTTTGATTTTATTCACAATTTATATGAATGAGAATAAATCACCACTTTAGTGCAGAAATGGTTTAACTCCTACCAGTATTTAATTATATTGAGAATTAATATGAAAGTAAAATAAATACCAAATGAAAGTAAAATGTAGCATTTTAACACTTTTAGCAAATCCAAGTAAATAAACTACTGCCATGCTTGACCCTAAACCTGCTGGAACCAAGCGTTTAGCCTTTGCCATCAGTGTACAACTGACCAGCCTGTACAACCATGCAATCTGACCAGGCTCTATATTGTTACCTGCCTAACTTCAAACATGTATTTTCATCTTGACATTCCAGAAATTGGTAATGTAAAGTTCTGAAAATGGAAGCTGGAAACTTTTATTTTAAAAAAATCGGCAGGATTGGGGTTGATTTATATGTAAATCAAGGTTTTCTTTCCATTGTATTTAAGTTTGTACATGGACATTCCCTTAAAAGGTAAAGTAGAAATGGTATAGAATATGGTATGAAATATCTTACATTTAGAAATACCATTTTCAACACTTTATACATCACGTCAACTTGAAGAAAGTTAAAAACATGTATAAAAAAACACTGATGATAGTGTATGTGATAGTGTTGAACATAGGCAGTGGGTGTAAATTTTATGTCATATTTTTTCAGACATTCTTGAGTGAGTTGTATGTGTACCTGATAGACCAGATGCATGAGTCCCTCACCAAGACTCTTGCCCTCGAGGACCAGGCTCCAGTGCCTGCACCTCTCACAGACTCGGCACAGCTGAAACACTTTGCCAGGGAAGCTGAAGTCAATGGCAACTTTGAACTGGCCACAAAATATTACCAAGAGGTATGTGTATTCTTGTCTTTATTTGACACTTTTGCATATTATCTGCACATTTACCTAAAATCTTAATTTGGTAGCATTTTTACTATGAGGAAAGTATGTAGCTACATGGATTTTTTTGGGCTTATTTTATAGCTGATATTTGGTCATATTCCCAAATATTTTCCCAATCCACAGGAAAATATTCCCAATTGAAAGTATTGAATAACAAATTCTAAAATCTTTGAAAATAAGAGCTTCTTCACTGTTAACGTTATGGTGCTTAAATGTTTGAAGATGCCACCTTAGACAGTGATTCTTTGCGATTCATTTAATCACTGCAAAATTTAAGTCTTGCAATTTTCCCCCTATTTTTAACAAAACATTGCTGAAATTTCCAATTTATGTTCCCAAAATCCTGGAGAAAAACCCTGAGCTATGTCATTTCATGTTGCTTTAAGATTGTATATGTGAAATAATAAGAATGCCATTGCATCTTTTGTCACCAGTAAGATGCGAGAAAGGCAGTATTATTTTAATTGTATCTGCAGGACACAAACCTTGGCAAAATTTGAACTTGTTTTTCCATTCTTGTTCTACATTATGTATTTCACTTAAGCATTATTTAGCAGCAAGAAAGTACAAAATACAAAATATAGGTAATCTTGTTTGTGTGTAGTTAATATCAAGTTATTCTTTGAAAATTAGCAAAGCAACAATTACACACTCTTATGCAATGTGAAAATTGTCATTAAGTATGTTTTCAAATGTATTTGTTTAAATTTGCAGCGTATTGCACGTGACAGAAATGATCCCAGCCACTGGTTTGACTATGGAACATTCTGTCTATACATCAATGATATTACCAAGGTAGGTTTCTGAGAGCAAAAACAAAAAAAAAAACTTTTAATAACTTCACTTCTTTGACTAAACTTTGTAAAGTTTGTATATAAAATCATTCCATTGCCATCAAAAGTGTACATGAGACTTTTGTATTCTCTCATGTGAGAAAGGTATTTAGCTAGATTGGCAGAAGGGCCCCTGTATAGCCTACCTCCACCAGTAAATCTAGAAAGTGGCTGTATGACCTTAACAGTGTATGACTTGAAACCTAAAAAAAAAGATTTACTAATTTCAACTTATCTATTTGATAAAATTCAGCTAATAATAATTGTGTAACAAAAATAAGTCCTTGGCCGACAAAATTTTCATGGATATAAAACTTCTTATTGCTTTGTTGCATTGTGAACCAAATAACAGATTTGAGAATTTTGATTTTGTTGATAGCCTGCAGTAGGAAACTTTATTTTATATTTTAGGCTGAGGAATGTTTTAAAGAAACTGTTGCAATAGATCAAAAGCATTTACATGGGTAAGTTTTTAATTCTTTCATGTTGTGACTTTCTTAAAATCTTGAAGGTACGTGTCAAATGATTTCATTCAGCTTTCATTAATTCAAGATATTTTAGTCTCGTGCCAAATTGCAAATAATTAGGACAGACTGTCATTGGACTCTTTGATCAGTAATTAAATTTTCTTTACATGTATATAGAAAGAAAATATATCCCAATAAAAGTCTAAAACAGCTCAAAATATTAAAGAAACAACGGCACTTATTTCATTGTTATTCTAAAAAGATATTAATTTAAAAAAAATGATAGTACTCTTGATGTCTTTTAAAATGGTTTCTTTCAATTTTTCCTTGTGCAAATTAAAGATTCTTTATTTAAAAATTCAGTTTTTTGCAACCTCAAACTTGAGTCTTGCTTTATAATAAAACACATATTTTTATACTGACTTAAATGGTCTTTTTCTATTATAGTTTATTACTTTATGGTGTTGTGTGTACATTACAAGAGAAGCACGAAGCTGCGGAAACATTTTTTGAGGCGGCAACTTGCGTACAACCTAAGAGTATACTAGCCTGGACAATGCTTGGTAAAATTTATTTTTTGGGGGATATAAAAATTATGCATTTCAAGATTTATTTTGTGATTTTTTAATAATCAACCATTTACTTGTACTTGTATTGTCGTTGAAAATACCATATAATTTCTGAAACTGTTTTAATTCTTGATTGAAAAATTTATAATTTTAGTACAATGACATGGTCAAGCACTAATTGCCATGCAAAATTATTTCAGCAGCCCTTTTCTAAACAGCTTTGTTTCTACATCATTTGAAAGACCCAAGTTCATTCCCTTGTCTAATACTGCAAATGTTTTAAATCCCCACGATGTTAAGTTTAATATATCATTTTTGTCTTGTTATTGAGTCATGTCTTAAATTAAATGTTTTATTTAATCAATTATGCGTGTTATACTGGAGAACTTGATACTAGATAATTTATAAAAAGGCATATTTTATCAAATTGTTCATTTTGTATGACAGGATTATTCTATGACGCTGTTCAGAATGAGATAGGAGCTGAGATGGCGTACATTGAGGCCAATAAGTTAAACCAACAGGCAGCTGTTAACATGGCAAGAGCGCTGAGAGAGGAGGAGCTTGCCAAACAGAGGGTGGAGCATAGTGAAAGTGAGGCTTCACATAAAGGTGAGTATCTAAATATAGTAACAAAGTGCTAGCTTAATATATATACATATATATATATACATATACAGTAGTTCAGAGCTTGATTATTTTTACCACCATTTTATATACCCAAACGTTATATAATTACCCCCAAGTTATCACTATGGTATATGCTTTTGTCAGCAAATTTGCTTAATGGTTATGGTAATTTATTTTGATTTATTTCTGGTATCGGCCCTTTTAAATTTACCTGCAATGATTGGTCGGAATCCAAAGCTTAATTTAGATTGTAAGACATTAACAATAAGATAAGGAATTAGACAAAAACATTTGGTTTTGCAGGGTATATATCATAGAGATTTTTTTGCTAGTTATAATTAATAAACATGTAGACTGTTTAGACTGGAAAAGGACATTAGAGATTATTTCTTGGACAGTTCATTGTTCAGCCATTTATTTTAGACACACATTAGCTAGAGCTTAGAAAAAATTAAAGCTTGCAATCAAATCTGCCTTGCTTTGTTTTTACACAAATGCCATAAAAAATGCTTTTGCAAAATATTTAAATATTCAGATATAACTATACAGCAAAATATTAAGATATGTTAAAACATTTTACCTGTAATTTCACATGGATCATTCTGAAATGCTATCCATGTTTCTTTACCCATTTTCCCCAGCTTCCCCATGCAGCCATTTAAAGAAATGTATCTTAGAGCAGTAATTTAAGGGTTCACTTCTGTTGAATTTCACAGGAGTTCACCATTTACTGCACTTTTAGGTGACAGTATGATTGCTTATCAGATTTAGCATGAAAATGTACAATTTTTAAACAGAATTTTGAACTGTTCAATATTTAGTCATCAGGGGATCAGGAATTTTTGCATTGAAACTGCCATATTTGTACAACATGAAATCAGATCTTTTAATCTGTAAACTGTATCTTTTATTAGAATTCATCAAGATTTATCTCATAACTGCCATTCATATAGATACACTTTTGTGGAATCTGTAAATTTAACTTCCATTTTCATATGGCTTCAGCTGTTTTAACCTTTAAACTGCATTTTTACAGAGATTCAAGTTATTTTTTTTTCTAAATTGGCAGTACTTGTTATAAATTGCCATGTTCTTTCAGTTTTAAAAGAGACCCAGCAATTTTACCTCTAAACTGCAAATTTATTAGAGATTTGGCAATTTCTGAATTGCCTTTTTTATAAGAAGTCAGAAATTTCCAACCCATACCTATTATTTTATAATAGAGAAAACTGTAAGCTCTTAACATCATTTTGATAGAGATCCAGAAAATCTAATTTCTAAACTGTAATTTTCAGACACCAAGAAATCATTTGGTTTGAAATTACAATTATATTCCATTAATGAGGGTAAGATGTGACAGATATTGTCTTGTATTTCATATTCCACTGTCTTGATGAAAAAACTACACCCTGTATTCAGATTTTAATACAATGTATTTATGTATAACTGCATGATTTCATATGTAATTTTTGATATTGTGTCACATAATAAATCTGCATGATTTTTCCAAAAACAGTTCTATAAACCCAGCATTATATCTTGGCCATCTCCAACTTCATTTATTAGTTGAAGCATATTTATAACTAGTATGCATGTGAAAATGATGTACAAGTTACAACAAAAAGTTGCAAGGAAATGTTCAAGATTAGTTAAATGATGACAGATGTGGAAAGACTGAAAAGAGGTTACAAAAAATAAAAATTCTGTTACAGTGAGGTTTTAAAAACATTTTGAATATGGAAAAGCAATGATAGAAATCTCTAAGAAATAACTTAACTCTGAACTTGTGCCAGGCTAGTTTTAGGTTTTATTTAGATAGAACAGGAGAATATGGCTAACAATACAATTGGCTCACACTATATAGAGGCAAAGTCATTTTATTGCTAAATGGGCGTGTTTTGTAATGGGTGTGTTCACTTACAGATGATCAGGGTGGTCTAGCTCCACCCACTAGCAATACGCTAGTTCCAGATATAAAGCAGCCAACCCCGCCCTCAAGTGAGAGAGGGCAGGGCTCAGCTAGATCTAGTGAAAAAATGTCATCAGCAAGACGACCATCAGCTTCCAAGAGATCATCAGCAGGTGGGTGGTCTTCTATTGTAACATTTGTACAGAATTTTTTTCTACTACAGATATTCCCATTTTACCATATCCTAATTGTGTGAGTGATTTCCCCTTTGTATATTTTCCTTTCCATCCATATGCTATTGAAGCTTAAGTTATATATAGCCTTTTATACATTTATACATATATTATTCCAGCACAACTATAGTTTACCCCTACACAAAATCTGTTATATTCTGCTTCAGTAAATTTTGCAAGCTCATACTTCAATGTAACATATTGCATATATGATTATTAATTTACCAACAGAATACTTAATTATGACCCATCCAAATTCTAAAGTGTGGCAGATTTTGTTTACTTGTTATTTTTGGCAGTGTGCTACAGAGACAATAAAATTGGAGACCAGTCTAAAACTCTAGCATCTGATTGGCTGATTAGGAATATAAGTTTTAAATTGACCAATCATAGAGTTCCATTGTCAGACTGGTCTTCAATTTTGAATTATAGATTTGAATCATGCAATTTTAAGCTAAATGCTAGAAATTAGGATAAAGTAGTGGCTAAAGGATAAATTAGTACTTCAAATATTGATTAGTTATAATTTATAGAATTAATTAACAAGGAAAGAAATATTTAATTTATGCAATTAACTAACACAAGGTGTTTAGTTTTATATCTGCTTTCTCTACACAGTTGATCATATATAATTATGTACATGTATTTAGCTTTTTCTGTTTTACATGTTTATTGAATTTCATTATTGAAGAAAGAAGTAAAACAATTAGTATAAATTTTCATAGACAATAGTATAAATACAGAAAGCTGACTTTGCTACACATGTTGGCGCAGATTTCCGAAATTACAATTTACAAAACAAGAAACATTTTATGTATTTAACTTTAAAATAAAGTAATGTATAAATTATGTTAACTTCAATAAAACAAACTTAAAATATCAAGTTTATTTTAATGATAAAGATTAGAAAAGAAACTTTTAAGCTTACATTTACATTTACCAGATAAATTTTCTTATGCAAAAGAGAGAAAAATAAAGGTTTAGGTGAAATTATTAGGTTCACAAGGTTATAAAATTACTGTTTACTTGGGACAAAGTTTCAGAGAGATTGGAATATCAGATAATAGAGGGTGAGGAGGAGGGGGTAGCAATATCTGTGCTCTCCGAGAAACCCCCGTCAGGTAGTACATGATATCATCAACATATACATGTAGCAAAATTGTTTGGTCTGCTCATATAGTATATTTTTATTTTAATTTACAATGTATTTTTTATGTCTCCCCCACCTCGGGGGGAGACATATTGTTTTTGCCCTGTCCGTCAGTCCGTCCGTCCGTCCGTCAGTCCGTCCGTCCATTCTTCGTTTCCGGACGATAACTAGAGTTCCTTTTGACCTACAGCCCTCAAACTTCATAGGATGATTGGTCTTATAGAGCTGATGATCCCTATTGTTTTTGGGGTCAGTAGGTCAAAGGTCAAGGTCACACTGACCGTTGGTCAATTTCTCGTTTCCGGATGATAACTAGAGTTCCTTTAGACCTACAGACCTCAAACTTCATAGGATGATTGGTCTTATTGAGCAGATGATCCCTATTGTTTTTGGGGTCAGTAGTTCAAAGGTCAAGGTCACAGTGACCATTGGTCAATTTCTCGTTTCCGGATGATAACTAGAGTTCCTTTTGACCTACAGCCCTCAAACTTCATAGGATGATTGGTCTTATAGAGCAGATGATCCCTATTGTTTTTGGGGTCAGTAGGTCAAAGGTCAAGGTCACAGTGACCGTTGGTCAATTTCTCGTTTCCGGATGATAACTAGAGTTCCTTTTGACCTACAGCCCTCAAACTTCATAGGATGATTGGTCTTATAGAGCTGATGATCCCTATTGTTTTTGGGGTCAGTAGGTCAAAGGTCAAGGTCACACTGACCGTTGGTCAATTTCTCGTTTCCGGATGATAACTAGAGTTCCTCTAGACCTACAGCCCTCAAACTTCATAGGATGATTGGTCTTATTGAGCAGATGATCCCTATAGTTTTTGGGGTCAGTAGTTCAAAGGTCAAGGTCACAGTGACCGTTGGTCAATTTCTCGTTTCCGGATGATAACTAGAGTTCCTTTTGACCTACAGCCCTCAAACTTCATAGGATGATTGGTCTTATAGAGCAGATGATCCCTATTGTTTTTGGGTCAGTAGGTCAAAGGTCAAGGTCACAGTGACCGTTGGTCAATTTCTCGTTTCCGGATGATAACTAGAGTTCCTTTTGACCTACAGCCCTCAAACTTCATAGGATGATTGGTCTTATAGAGCAGATGATCCCTATTGTTTTTGGGGTCAGTAGGTCAAAGGTCAAGGTCACAGTGCAGTGGGGGAGACATGCGCTTTTTTACAAAAGCATCCTCTAGTTTATTATTAAAAATTGTCCATGAATTTTTGTTATAATCCTGAAGGTTCATTGTCCATTCTGAGCAAAAATACTTTTTATATCTTTTGATACCAAGAATATTCAATGAAGGGCCTAATGTATTTTAGAGCTGTTTTATTTTGCTGCACTGATTTGGCATTAGCTCTGTATTTGCTGTAAGGATGCTAAAGGTTTTTAGCTGCATAGGAAAGTTTTCTTGTACTCAAAATTCAGTTTAAAATTATTTGTATTCACTTTGCACCTAATGGCAAAGAACATTTTTTTTGCTATGGTCAATTTGTTAATTAGCTTGTTAATACAAAGTTTTGTCTAAAATTGAACGGGGAAAAAAAATAAACTCATATAATTACCATTCTTTTATCAAACAAATTTTATTTCTTTTTTGTATCTTGTCAGTATGGTGATCATTTACTATGAAAAGTTATAAAAATGGGTAAATAAATACTCAATGAGCAGACCAATGAAAATATATTTTGATATAACAAAATGTTGTTGAGAATATAAATAGAGTAATGCCTAGATAATTATGTATGATGTGTTAGAAGGAAAACTGCATGGGGTTTAAATGTCTAAAACAGAGTAACTATGTTAGAACATGTTTAAGACTGTGTAAGTTGTTGTCATGGAGAAATAGAATAGTAAGCTGACTGCATGTCTGGAATAAGAATACAGTGCAAGGTTATCAAACTGAGTGTGAACCAGTCTAAAAATCTGGTTTCTGATTGGTTGATACAGATTTGAAATTGACCAATGATCATGTTGTATTCAAAATCCTGATTCAGTACTCAGTTTGATAACCTTCAGGTCATGAAATACACCTTTTGTATAGAGATATATCTTATTTGATTCTTCTAAAGAATTCTAAACCCAGATATTTTGTAATTTATAAACAGAAGTGTGTTTTATATTTTTCTACCTTTGAAAAGAATACTGCTATTTAAAAAAACAACAACATGTTACAGGACATTGTCATAAGTTTTTTGTCACAATATGAATTTTGTGTAAGTATTACATAATATAAGATTTTCAATTTACGTTTATTAGCGGAAAAGAGTCACTTAACAGCCACTGATTCAAGGGAGACAACAAAAACTGGTATATTCAAATGCACGTTCGATGCATGGTCACAGAATGTGGCACGGGTGGCAAAGCTGTGAAAACAATCACTCAAAGTTTTATTTTCCTAAGCACATTCGATCACATAAGTTTTGATGCAGGCAATTTTTTCTGTCAGTTTTATATCCTAAAAATACAAAATACAGCGCTGACTTTTAGTACTGTAGCACCATTTTAAATTGTGTTGTGAATTCCTTTCTCATATTATTAGTATATTTTGATTATATTTGTTTTAATTAAGTCCATCTTTAGTTTAAGTTGGGGGGGGGGGGGTATGTCAAAGGCTTTAGTTTACTTAATATATTATTAGAAAGCTTCTAGATAAAATTCATTGCATGATTATTTAAATATTTAATTGCAAAACACACTACATTTATTCAATTAAATTTACGGATGATTTCCATAAAATGTTCCTTTAAATGTTATTCAAACATGCATTATGAATTTCTTTAAAATACATAAAAAGGGTTGGGCCAACGGATATTTCAGCATTTATCAGGGCCCTTCCCCTTATGAACAATTATCAAATTTAGATTAGGTGAAATCTGTTTTCGAAAAAAAATGCATTTTTAGATTGACATGTTTTTCTACACTTAATACATGGTATATCAAAGTTTTTGTCTATGCTAGGCCAGTCTTCATCAGTGGTCAATATAACCAGTAACTTTGGATATAAAAAACATTTTACGTTCTATAATGAAAGCACCACAACATTATGATACAAATTTATTGGGGTTGAAGGAAAACAAAATAGCGTATCTAGAATTACATGAACAATTAAAGTAGTTACGATAAAAATAGCACATGCTTTTAATACTATACTACAATATCTTATACCTACATTATACTTACCTGATAAAAGCAGCTATGTACTTGATGTTAAATATTAAAATGCAATGTATATGATTTTAATCATGGTATATTCACTATAGATAGGCATTTATGATGATTTGTCAATCATGTGCTAGTAATTATAACTATTTTGAATATCTACATTGTCATTTGAATTCTTGCACATGAGTTCCAAACATTTTAAATGCGTCAGTAATAGTACATAAAATATTGCATGCATGCTTTTTCAACTCTGAATTAAAGATTTGATATATTCTGCATGTATGAACTCTGTAAACTTTAATGCATGCTAATTTATTGAACAAAATGTTAAATCTAATTATTGCATGGTGTGAGCGTTATTATTGACACAGTCATTTTTGTGAATGAAAATAATATCTTAATATGAAGTAAAAAAAAATAATGAAAGTTATAAAAAATTATATCATAATTATCGTTTATATGGAAATAAAAAAGTTAAAATTCATCTAAAACTTGTAGATATGTGGATCTTATTTCTATTATACTTAACAGATAATTTACTAAAATGATTTCTTATTGTTAGAAATAAAATATTTTGATACAGTTATCTTGAAGCTTATTGATGTTTTCATACATGTCTTTTTTTTTCCTAAACATTCATTATATGTTAATTACATTCAGGGAGAAACAAATCTGATAGTAATCTGTCAAGACCAAGTAGTGAATATCGCAGGGGAAGTGCCAGAGGTACCCCACAACTGGAGGAGGCTAGTGAAGAGACTCCGCCAAGAGAACCAACCCCTGTACCCACCTCCAGTATCTACATGCAGGCCATTGATTGGCTGCTAGAAGTGAAGGCTGTTCCAGTAAGTTTACTCACTGATTTGTTCAGATATAGGGAAAAATTTGAAAAATACAAATTAAATTAGGATGACTTACCCTTTAAAAAAACAATTTCAAGAAAGGATTTCAGTAATAACTTATTTTAAAGCTAAGCATATGTTGCTCCAAGTAAATTTAAAAAAAATATTTGAAAATAGGAATAAAAAAAAATGTCTGCAAAGGTTTAAATTTTATCTTAAAAACTTGTGCATGCATGCTAACAAAATCAGAATGTCATTAATCCTTACCCTGCTGAAACCAAAAGTGATAAGTCTTTGCCACCAGTATAGGGCCAGGCCAGCCTGAACATCCATGTCTGACCAGGCTCTATACTGTCGGCTGACCAACTTCAGATTTTCATCTTGATATCCTCGAAAAATAATACAGTTCCAAAAATTGAGGCAGGACAAGTCCATATTCAATAGTTTATGGGTCAATTATAAATCTTATTGTTGGTTTATTTTTTTCAGTTTACAGAGCGGGCATTGGGTCATGAATTGTTATCACCAATGGGAGGTCTCACAGCTCATTATCATATTGCTCTAGCAAGAGTTAAACTACAAAAGAGTGAGCTAAAGGAGGCGGAGGAAAGTTTAAATGAAGCTCTACAGTTTGATTATCAGGTATGTACAAGTTTGATAACTCTGTGTCTTTGGCATAGCAGACATACAATATCTTACAGTAACATAGAATTATTATTAATTAATAACTACATCTGTCCACTTTAGCCTCTCATTTGAAAATTAATAGAGACCAACACCGATTACTATGGTCGCAAAATGGTTGACTTCTTTTTACTAGAAAGATTTTAAAATTATCTACAAAAAGTTGGGTTTTCTACTCAGTTGCCTGTAAAAGTCTTCCTTTGTTTGTAAGGCTGGAAAAGTGGAATTTCCTACAGAGTGAAACAGGTGAAAGTTGCAGACTGTGTTGGATCAAGTCTGTTCATAAGTGATAATAAAAAAGTACATCATCTTTCATGCTCCTAAGCAAAACCTAACAAACAGGCACCAAACAGTTTGTTTGTTTGTTTCATTTTACGCCTTTTCCCAACAGTATTTCAGTCATATAGGCGGGTAGTTTCCTAACCATCGTTCCTGGAGAGTTACGCCAGTACTAGATTACCTTCCTTCGTGCTAAACTACCAAAGCATCTCCCGGGGATCGAACCCACGCCAGAGAGGTAACTGGATAAGAAGTCATCGACTCTAACCCCTCGACCACGGAGGCGGTATACCAAACAGTCAAAAAAATAGGAAAGCATTGGTTATGTTGATAAACTTTTAAACAGAAACATTCATTTTGATGTTATCCAAATATTTATATGAATGTTAACTAACTTTCCATTACAGAACCCGGATGTGTGGGCATTGATGGGCCATGTGATGTATTTGATAAATGACACAACAGAGGCGAAAGGTTGTTATGAGAGAACAATAGACTTTGTAGCTGATGCTTCAGAAATGCATTCTGTATATCTTAGACTAGGCTCAATTTACTTAAGGGATGAAAAGGTATCTGCTCTTATAATTCATGTTCTTTTATTTTTCATGGAAGGGTTTATAAAGGATTTAATTTGACTTTTGTCAATGATCAGGGTTCTCATTTGCTTAAGAGATTTATTCTGCTTTGTTACATTCTTATACAAATACTCTTTCAGATAGAAGATTTTGCAAAATTTAATTCATGAACATTTGATACATTAAGAAGATAAAGTGAAGATAAGAAAAATTTGTACTTATATACAAGTACAAATACTTGGTCAATTTTTTTTGCTGAGAGTTTAATGAGATACGTTTTAATTGACTTTCTAAGATGAAAATGTTATTTGTATGCCCAAATTCTGCATAAAATTAGGCTAATAGGCTAATAATTTGATGATTAATTTGACATTGTTTTTTTTACTTACTAATAAGAATTGTTTTAATTTCAGTTCCAAGAGGCTAAGAACACATTCTTAATGGCATGTAAAAGATCTCCATCTTGTGTATCATGGCTTGGGGTTGGTATGGCATGCTACAGAGTAAGTACTTTTAGTTACGGTAATATAATAATTTTGACACTATTCTGTAATATAATCTCTAAAATTTACTTAACTTTAAGTAATGGTAGGCATTATCAAGCCATGTTGGAAATTATGTCCTTTCATTTCATATTTGATGTTTTTATTGCTCACATTGACTGTCAGTTTCTTTTATACTATCTAAATACGCTTTTCACTGCATTGAATCTTTTTTAATATTGAAATGACTCAGTCAATGAGAGCAAATGATTGACAAGTTACACAAATTAACTGTCCAGTTACCATAATATATCAGCAGTAATTATTTTAGATGTTGTTTTACCGTTTTGATATTGGGCCATAGCTTTATACAGATTATTCTTCAGATTTTGATAACAACATCAATCAGAACTTTGATAATCAGCTACAAAGAAGAAACCATGTTTTTGAGCCCTGGCTCCTTGGTTTTTTTTCTAACTATTCCTTGTTCTATCATAGTATTTCTCTAACATTTTAGCTTGGAGAATTATCAGAAGCAGAAGACGCTCTATCAGAGGCAAACATATTAAATAATTCTGACCCTGAAGTTTGGGGTTATCTCTCCCTAGTCTGCTTAAAAACAGGACGACAGCTGGAGGCTGAGCAAGCCTATAAATATGCAATAAAGGTTTGGAATTATGGAATCTGTGAGAAATGTATTATACATTTAGTATGGATCACACTGCCATTTGCCACAATCTTTTTCAGTATAATGAAGTTGATAGGTGTGGGTTTTTTGGGGGGGGGGGTTTGTTTTTGTGATAAGACATGGAACATCCCATGTTATTTTTTTTGCTGTAAGAGAAACTTGAAAAACCTAAGTCTGGCTTGACCCTTATTGTACTTTGGGTATCAGCCTTTTAGCTTAATTGTGAATATGTAAATATATGTCAACTTAGAATCTTAACAAGACTTCAAACAAACAAGAATTTAGAAAAAAAAGTCCCAACTAAGTAAAATAAATGCTCACTGTAAAATAAATAATAGATATGCAATGAAATTTTCTTTGTTAACTGAAAATGTGATAAATACAACAGCAGTGACCAGAGTATGGCTAATTTGTATGCCAACACCATGAAGCCAGAAAATCTGGTATTACCTTACTCTTGCCTTACGCTTGCCTGCTGATCTTGACTCTGATGATATTAACACCATTACCATATGAGAACTTTATTTTACAGCATAAGACTTAAACGTTTTATTTTCATATTCTTTCAGGTCAATTTAGAGGATACAGATTTATTGGATGAAATTATCAAAACACAGAAAGAAGTTGGCTTTGGAAATCCTCAGTTTTAAAAATAAGAAAGAGATCTGATATGGACAGGAACAAAAAATGTTTTAGGATTCAATTTGACTGAAATAAACATTGTAAAGAAATTTTCCATTGATATGAAAAGTTTCCATGATAAAAATTATTAAAAAAATGAAAAATGAGAAGATTGTGACTATTATTTAAAAAACAGAATCTGTGATATTTATATTATCATACTTATTTACAATGCATTTTACTTGTTTATAAAGTATTAGAAGTATATATTGTTGGAAAAAAATAAAACACATTTTACAATCAAACCCGTTTCTTTTTTTCTTATGTATTACAATTTTTAAATCTCTTATTTGGTGTTTAAATGCTATGGCAATTTCTATGTTTAGTAAAATTTGTAAAGGAATTTGCAGGTAATAGGCTTTTGTTGAAAGTTTGTTTGAATTCCAAATTTTTTTGTCAAGGTCATATGTCAAAGGTCATGTCGAGTTTCCAGCTAAGAATATGACCTTTGTCTGACCTAACAGTCTTCTTCAAACAACCTGGATAGCTTCCTCCCTTTTATTTTAAGTGGACCATTCCATCTTTCAGTTTGGACTACACCGCTCATCATTTTTGGGGGAAAATTACCAAATATATACTGACTGGAAAGCAAACATCAGACTATGGCCAGGTGTGCCAGATGATTTTGGTCTGGGTAAAATCTGTAACCTCCAGCAGATAAAGGGTTAAAGGACAATTAATGCATATTATCTGAGAGCAACATATATCAATCACCAGTACATTTATTTTCTGAACACATTCGGTATACAAAACTTACAACAACTCAAAACATAAATAATACAACATTGCAAAATTGTAAAAGCATTGAATTATACAACTATAAATAGAAAACTCACTATGGCTTAATGGTAATTCATTACATGATATCAAAAAATTGCAGACCTTTCAATTTGCTCATGATTACATTGCCTGCATTTATTCCATTTAAAATTGTACAAATTTTGGCATCTAGCTCCATTTTCAAGAGCTTTATATGACCTGTTGATTAGCAAATGTATATTAAATCAAAGCCCATAATTTTCACATAACTCACTGGTTAAGAATAATTTTTCATATTTTAATATGTAATTCCTTCAGCATTACACCATGTCAAAAAAATTAGTTCATTTTTTCGTCTAAAATACTTCTTTATTCAAGATTTTGAGTGATACATCCTTTTCTAAGAATTTCAATACATCTGCTTTAAGATAACAGAATTTCATCAAGTCCCATTTCATTCAAAGACCTCATAACTACAGCTTCAACAATCATTCAAAAACTCATTTACTTTAAGACACATTTAAAACAACAACAAAATACTGTTCATCAATTAACTTAAAGTTTCAACACATTCATTTAAGCTAAATTGTTACGGATTTTTTAAGTTGACTTATTCATGTTCAAGCCTCTTTCCATGACTAACTAGATTTGGCATTTACATGAGGAAACTTGTGGTCCTCACTATTTATGAACTGAGTGATGGACACTTCACCACTATGTCATTGCTACTCTGCATTTCCTTCTTGTTCTTCAGAGTTTTGACTTGTGTCAACATCATCAGTTTCCATTTCTTTATTTTCTTCACTTTCTGTTTCATTTGTTGGTTCATCTTTAACACCATTTTGTGGTTCATCTTTAACACCATTTTGTGATTCCTCATCTTTTATTTGTGTGCTCTCTTCCCTAAGTCTTCGTCTTCTGTCACGACCTGGAGTGTCACGTTTGTACGGATCTTTGTTGGGCGTGTCAACTTTATTCGGATCCTTGGGTGGCCTTCCTGGTGGCCTACCCGGTCTGCCTGGTGGACGCCCTGGCTTTCGACCTCTTCTGATAAAAGAAGGAAACAAAGTTTATGTTTAAGTTTATTTGCATAATAACCCTCTTTAAGGGCATATAAAGACAAAAAACATTTCAATATATCACCATTCGAAATTTAATTTTTGCCAATGAATTCATTAATATGACATTCCCACTTAAAGTTTTATGCACTCTACAGTAATTGAATGAATCCACAGCAAAACTCAAAGAAATAAGAAAGCATTAAGATATACATTCATTATAGCCATTTGGCATATCTAAAAGAACAAATATAGTGAAGTGATACGTTCCCTTCTTTTACTGTTGAATGAATACTTCTGGAAACCCCGCTATGCATCAATTCAGGCACAAGCAATTGCTTTGGTAGAACTTTTTGTAAACTTGTGGATAGCTCTGCTCCATCATATAGGACATAATTGAAATATTCAGTGGTAGCATGGCTGAATGGTTGACATGTCAGACTAGTGAGCCATTTGGATTCAAAGCCCTTAATTGGCAAGCCATTGTACGTTTCTGTGAGCAAGAAACTTTACACTGATTTCTTAGAACTGGCTGTTTCCACGAATGGATTTAAAAGTGTTTCAAAAAGCTTATAGCTTCCAACATAAACTAAAAATAAATTCCAATATACTTACTTTGCCTTTGGTGTTGGTCTTGGTAGTGGTTTGATAGGTGTTGTGTCACCACGACAACTGAAGCAGTCCCATTGACCTGTTGGTAGTGATTTAAGTCCCACACAGAATGTGTGATAACCTCTGTCACACTTGTCACAAAACAACATTTTATCCTGAAAACAAATAAAAAACAAAAATCTATTGTTGTTGTTTTTCATCAAAAACTAAATGTTGTCATAAAATTAACATTTTATATCATTCCAACATACAAAATGACAAATTCTCTATAGGTAGTGACCAGTAAGGAATTTTCATATGATTTTTAACATATTCTTGTGGGGATCAGGAAATTTGGGATTTAAAGTTGCAATGTTGTTTAAGTCATACAAAGATGTTATGCGAGAAGATTTACACTCAGTGCTTAGTACTGAACAAATTCGAAAGTATCTCTATAAGCTTATCACTTCCTACACAAACTAAAATAAATTCTGTCTAACCAAATATAACATCAAACCATACCTCATCATAAGGATCCATACATTGTACACATGTTTTACACTCCATACACTGCCAGGGGTATGTCTTTATTACTCTCACCATATCACCATTCAGATCTAGACATGTAGGATGACCTTTGCTCTTACACTCCGAGCATACAATCAGTTCCTCATGCTCGGTTTCTTTCTGTTTCTCCAGAGCTTCATCTTTACATATTCTACATTCATTCTCTTGTTTTATACCAGGCTGAAATTATAAATAGTGCAAACATGAATTTTCCTTGCATTTGTATCTAACAAAGACAAGTTGTATTAGCTTTTTAGCACTTACAAATGTGTTAAGTTGGTTCTTTCAAAATTGTAATCAAAATCATTACAGATGTGCCATTTCATTTTTTTATTGTAAAACTAAAGTAGTTCTTAGTTTAAACAGTATTTATATAAGCTTCAATTGGGAAGAATGCTTTCAGCTTATTTGAAACACTTGAGTCCACTTCCTGGGACTGACCAGTACTGATGCCATAAAAGGAATCATGATTGTAACCCTAATAGGATTCAGATCAAAACCTCTGGGATTGGAGGCAGACACCTTTGGAAGTATTTCTTCAGTGCAACTGTTACAATGTGTGTTATTGAAAATTTGGGGTTCCATTCCTTAAACCTTATAATATATATATATATTGTGAAAAAAAATAAAATAACGGAAGTAAATTGGGTGTAAGTAATGCCATAACATTATATTTTAATAATGATAGTCTTGCATTGGATATTATTTAAGTCTATGATACTAAAATACATTTTGAAACAGAAATCAAAGACCCAAAACAACAACAGAACTTCAAAATCAGGATGCCATCATTCAGTTAGGTCCTCAATTTCAAAATTAAATTACAGTGTAAGCTAATACAGTATGAAAAGCTGAACATACGTTAAATCAACATCCAAATATCAAGCAAATACCAACCTCAGCTGATTTTTCTTTACTGACTTCTCTACTAGCTGACTTTTCTTTCTTTTTCTTTGTATCATCACCAGCCTCTTCCTCATCATCGTTGTCATCATCATCGTCATCATCTGAACTGCTACTACTACTGTCATCACTGTCACTAGAATCATTGCCCTGAAATATTACATACAACAATCTACGTCAAATGCACCACAATCTATGTCAAATCCAACAACACAAGTTTACATATAGTGATTACTTAAATGTATAACAATGTTATGTGCATCTTTTAATATTCTGTCCAAAATACTCATGAAAACTCTTATTAAACACAAATTTGTATATTTTCTTTACAACTTATGTGGAAATATAAATTAATTTTACAAGAAGACATGTGATTTTATTAACCTATAAAACCTTTATCCCTATCAATGCAGAATTTTTCTAACTCATTATAGTCAGAACAACAGTTTCCATGTCAAATTGAAAATCAATGTCACAGGGTGAAAAAAATGTGCAGCCCGACAGCTACTCAAACTCTGGACCTTTATAATATCATTCTATCAGCTCTATCGACTGAGCTATCTGGCAGCTCACACATACTCTCTCCTTATTAGTAAACAGTTCTGAGCCATAACATCTATATAAATATCCAAGTATGAATCCATCAACTGAAAAACCATTTCCACACAAAAAATTAAAATTCTAACTAAAAATCAATGAGGCAGTACAGCATAAGAGATTGATTTAGATCCACAAGCAGCAAACAACTTCCCCACATTTAAGAAAAGGAAGGTAAACAAGCAAAAACTGAGTAGAATTTACCTTATCATCAACCTGACTGTCATCATCATCATCCTCTACTTCCTGTTCTGCTGAAGCATCCACTTTCTTTGGTGGGTCAAACAATGCTGTTTAGGGGGAAAATTTCAATCCTCCGGGGGTATATCTGTACAAATTTAACAAAAATTTTAAAAGCAAATATTAATTACACAATGTTGAGCCAATGTCTTAGCTTAAAAATTTTTTTTTAAAAAAGACAAAAATTTTTCATTTCTTTTTTTTTGTTTTTCAATTTTCTTATTTGAAAAATTGGGCCCCAAATAATATATTAACTAAAAAAAATTTTTCCCCAATCACCTTCGCATTTGCACCATAAGATGTTCCAGTAGAAATCATTATTGGATCCAATCTATAAATTTAGCATCGTTTTCATTTCCAGAGTCCAAAATATCCATATCACACCCCTTTCTGCCATATTTTTATTTCCAGAGTCCAAAAGGCTCAAATCAAATCCATATCACACCCCATATAGCCTTGTTTTCCTTTCAAGAGCCCAAAACATATTGCACCCCATTTAGTCTCGTTTTTTTAGACTCCAAAATCCATATTAAATCCTGGTTGTAATTGAAGTAACAAAGTTCTGTCAAATAATGTTGGTGTGAAATAAAGAGGTCATTAAACATGGTTGAGAACAATACTGATTCTATTTGACTCATACACAGCTGCAAAACCTGTATCAGACTCGGCTATTGTCTTGTCCAATATAGTTTTGAAAGATGTAAAAGAATTTAATATTGTACTCAAAAATGTATAATAAACCTCATAACAATTCACAGTGAAAAATCTTTGTAAATACCATATTACAGGAAAAGAGGCAGATCGATGATAAGTATCATCTAAAAGAAAGCTGTCACCTAAAAGTTAGAGTATCAGTCTGCAAACCAGCGAACCTTAAGTTAAATTCCTACTGGTTTTACAATCATATGTCCTTACAATTTATTATGACAATTTTACACTAGACGGCAAATCAAGCTAACTCAAAAATCATGTATAAATTTTGACTTGAAATTCACTAAAAATTGTAAATCTGAAACCAACCAATTCATACAAAATACATATATTCTTTTCTTCTTTTTTTTTTTAAAATACTAATAGAAAACTGTAGAGTGTTCTAACTTACTTTCTATAATGATCTTGGAACTGCCCTGGAATCAGAGACAATGGATAAGCTGTAACTTGTGTCTGTGTCTGGTCCAACTTTTTAAATTTGCTCTTAGGGTACTGTATTGTCTAAAAATAATTATATAGAATAAGTTACTTATTCATGTTGTTCTTTTTTCTACTATTAACTTGGTACTGTATTCCAATAATGGCTTCTTTCAAACTATACTAAAAGAGTTAGTTTGATTTTTTTCCATTAAATTCATGTCACAATGACACTGTAAAGGTCATACAAATTCCAGCTTTACTGATGGAAGACCAAGAGCACCTTTGTACATTATTTCAGGCATGAACCAGCACCTAAGTAAAATCACAAATTTTCCTTAAGTTAGCTGAATAGCTTCCTCATATAACAGAATCTGATGTTCCTGATGGGATCTGAACCCAAGGCAGTGAGGGGCAAGTGATTTTAAGCAAGTCCCTTTAATCACTCTGCCCCTATATAGAATTTAGATAGCCCTCTGTGCAGTATAAATCTCAAATGCAAATGAGCACAATCACTGACCTAGCGTTAACCAAATGTAAAAGCTTCCTTTACAGGAAAGACTAAAATGTCCTTAATGGTACCAAATACTTAATACATATAAAGGTCATTTTAAAATCTGCATTTCTCGGTATAACAATAGCTTAGAATTGAAAGCCAAATGACAATAGCTTGTGTTTGTTTGTTTGATTGGGTTTTACGTCACACCGACACAGTATAGGTCATATGGTGACGTTCACTGGTGGAGGAAAACCTCAGATGCCCTCTGAAGTCAACGATCTTAACCATTCCACCACTGACCCCCTCCAAAAGCTTGTGTAATTGCACATGTACATCAATTAGGATTAAACAGGAACCACTGGCATTTACAATTCAAGTATGTATAAATAAAGAAGGTTCATATTAACTTACAAATGTCTGCATATCAAAGTAGGCTTTTCTCTCTTCATTTTTCTTTTTCAGTAGACTTCTGTTCCACTCGGATACAGATCTCATTGCTTTCTTTGTATATTCTACCATTTTATCTTTCTCCAGTTTTAACTGAATAAAATATAAAGAAAATTGTACAATACATGTAGGAAATATGTGAGAAAATACATTAGTAAAAGTTGAGAAAAATCTAAAACTACTGAATTTATCATTAAAGAAACAAGAGGGCCATGATAGCCCTGAGGTCGCTCACCTGTATATAGGCCCCCCATCCCCCCCCCCCCCCCAACGTTGCAGGGCCAATTTAACCCAGGGGCTTTTTATTTGCACAAACTTGGTAGACACCCATAAGAAAATTTTTCATGCTAAACATCTAAGCTCTAGCTCATTGGGCTTTTTTAAAAGAAGATTTTTTTAAAGTTTTTACTATACACATGTAGTTAAAAACAATGACACCCCTGGGGTTTGGGCCAGTTTTGGACCCCAGGGGCTTTTATTTGAACAAACTTTGTAGACACTTACTAGAAGATGTTTCATGCTTAATATCTAAACTCTAGCTATTTGGGTTTTTTCAAAGAAGAATTTTTAAGTTTTTGCTATACACATATAAAGAAAATCAATGACCCCCGGGGCGGGGCCAATTTTGACCCCAGGTCTTTTATTTGAACAAACTTTTTGTAGACACTCACTAAAAGATGTTTCATGCTTAATATCTTAACTCTAGCTATTTGGGTTTTTTCAAAGAAGATTTTTTAAGTTTTGCTATACACATATAAGGAAGATCAATGACCCCCTCTGGGGCGGTGCCAATTTTGACCCCAGGGCTTTTATTTGAACAAACTTGGTAGACACCTATTAGAACATGTTTGAAGCTAAATATCTTAGCCATAGCTCTATGAGTTCTTTAAAAGAAGATTTTTAAGTTTTTACTATATGCATAAAGGGAAAATCAATGATTCCCTGGGGCGGGGCTAATTTTGACCCCAGGGCTTTTATTTAAACAAACTTGGTAGACACTTATTAGAACATGTTTCATGCTAAATATCTTAGCTCTAACTCTTTTGGTCTTTAAAAGAAGATTTTTTAAGTTTTTACTATATGCATATAGGGTAAATCAATGACCCCCTGGGCGGGGCCAATTTTGACCCCAGGGCTTTTATTTGAACAAACTTTGGTAGGACACCGTATTAGAACATGTTTCATGCTCAATATCTTAAGCCATAGCTCTTTTGAGTTCTTTAAAGAATATTTTTTAAGTTTTTACTATATGCATATAGGGAAAATCAATGACCCCCGGGCGGGGTCCAATTTTGACCCCAGTGGCTTTTATTTGAACAAACTTGGTAGACACCCATTAGAACATGTTTCATGCTAAATATCTTAGCTCTAGCTCTTTGGGTTCTTTAAAAGAAATTTTTTTAAGTTTTTACTATATGCATATAGGGAAAATCAATGACCCCCCCGGGGCGGGGCCAATTTTGACCCCAGGGCTTTTATTTGAACAAACTTGGTAGACACTCACTAGAAGATGTTTCATGCCAAATATCTAAGCTCTGGCTCTTATGGTTTTTTAAAAGAAGATATTTAAAGTTTTTTCTTTCGGTTGCCATGGCAACCAGAGTTCTGCATGGAATTAAATTCTTTGAACAATTTTTAAAGGTGACCACCAAAGGAACATTCCTGTGAAGTTTGGATGAAATTGGCTCAGTGGTTTATGAGGAGATGTCATTTAAAGTAAAAGTTTACGGACGGACGACTGACGCCGGACGGACGACGGACGGATGGACGCCGGACGAAAAGCGATCACAAAAGCTCACCCTGTCACTTTGTGACAGGTGAGCTAAAAAGTTCTGAGAGAAAAGGGCTTTTGAAAATAGGTAAAAAATCATGAAAATCATACAAGAAATCTAAAAATTACCATTAACTCTAGTAAGATAATTTAATAAGCCTTCTAAAAAGTTACACAAGATTTGAAAGATAACAATTTTTCATCAACTTCAGGTTTAATAATAAACCAGAAAATTAAATCAAAATAGATAAAGCTGTTCTAAGGAAAGGCAGAAATTTCCATATACCAGTTATCTTATGAAACTAACACCTAAGACATCTTTATATACTATAAACGATATTAAGACCAAAGATATGGACTAGAAAGGAGAGCATAATAATTTATTTTATTAAGATAAATTGTAAACTACTCACTGAATGAAATTCCTTCATCTTATCTGCAATTTTCTGCTTTTCTCTTTCACGCAAAATTTTCAAAAATTCCTGAAATAAAAACAATACAAAAATTTCAACAAAATGGTTTAATTCAAGGTAGATACCCAGGAATCCAAAAGCTGTCTCTATATCAAATATTCACTGTGATTATGAATGCAAAGATCAACTAAGATTAATAAAAATTTAGTAAAAACGTGCAAATACAACTCTGTTGACACAATATAAGTGTAATCAATCACAAATCAACTCATAAAGCTGTATCATTCCCATACAAAATCCACCTTCTATTGAAAAGCATTTGTCCATAAAGATTAAACATTTGGTTATGCAGGTATAAATTTATGTATAAATTTATAAATGTCAAAAAAAGTTCCAAATTCCAGACTCATGTCAATATACCTCAGTGGTATCCCTTAAAATATAATAATAAATTTTGCAAACGTCTTTCAGAATGAACAAATATGCCATAAATGGGAAATTGCTCTTTATATAAATGTAACAAATAAATACAGCCTGCATGGCAGGGCAGTGTTCTCTGTTAGTCTGGATGTTTTTGTTTTTTTTGGGGGGAGGGTTGGTTTCAAACTGGCTTTGCTTTCACATTGTTTTATGTCATAAATACTTAGAACTGTGATATTTATACAATCACAAACTCATACTATTACATAATATACAACTGTATTTCACCTTGTATTTTGCTGGATAATCTCGACTCATCAGATCATGCACTTCATCTGCTTTCAAAGCTGTCAAACCTTTAAATGTACAACAATAATTACTTACTTCATACAGTAGAAATTATGTGAGTTCAATTGTGAGGGAAAATATAATCTTACAGACACAAAAATCCATTCCTAAAACCAACCAGTTCTGAGTAATGAGTGTAAAGTTTCTTGATCAAAGAAACAACGGCGTTTGAAACGACACAGCTAGTGATTCTTAGATTATTAGGTTGATGTGTTACTAAAATAATTGCTAAATCTCATTAATGCCAGTTTACATAAAATAAGCATTCATGGCTTTCGTATTTATATATTTGTATAACAAATGTTACCCAAACAAAATACATTTTAGTCAACAGTTATTGTCAATCAATGTCAATAATTTATAAGAATGTAATGATAAGACTCCTATCCCTGTACATATATACCTTCATACCAACATAGGCATGAAATAACATACCCAAATCACTCTGTGTTTCAGACACTACTCCTTTGTTTCGTAGAAAGTCTTTTTCTTGTTTGTCACATACTCGCCGGAATAAATCTGAAATATTGGTGTTTAAGGCTAATCACTTTTGGTTCCAGTAGGTTTCAAGCAAATTTCATATGTCAATAAGTAGTCTTAAAATATTTCTTCCATTGTAAAGTATATGTTTTATTTCACGTATTTTCTGATGCATTCATTAGTCAACCATAATATTTAATATGAAATGAAACAAAATAAATCAAAGAGACAAATGGTCTAATTTTTAAAAGGAGTGATTTATCTATTTGCCCAATGTAATAGTAGATTAGTTTCTTGTTATTTTTTTGCATTACAATCTCAAATAACAGAATTTCATTAACATTGCATAAAACAATGATCATGTCTTTGAAACATAAACAAAACAAACCTGGATATTTTCTCTTGAATGATTTAACATCTAGATACATAGAGATTTGTTCTTGGAGCATGAAATACTCAGAATCTTTCTCTAGTGGCCACTGGTACTCAAATATATCTGCGGCTGTAATACCACTGAAATATACAACACATGAGTTCATTACATTTTTAAATATATGAAGAAACACATAGGTACACATTCACTAATTAAAATTTAAAAAATATCTGAAATACATTTTAACAAGTTCTTGTCAAAATTCAAACACTTAAAAGTGTATAAAGAATAAAAAGGTCCAGAACAAAATATTAAGCCTCTATTTTTAGTAGTTTTGTCAATGATTTTATGCATGTCTGCATGATGTCCCACACACTTTCCAAAGAATACAAGTATACAGACAAATTTCTGTCACTCTAGTATTTCTGTTATAATTTTAATCATAATATAAATAATAATTTTTTCAATCCAAAAATTATAATCCATTGTGACAATCATTCATTGCAATTATTTATTTTTATTGACAGATCTCATAAAACAAAATCTGTTGCATAATACAAATACGGTGATCTTGAACATGCATTTGACTCAAGTTGATTTTACACGGACAGAAATTAGGATCTCATGAGTCACAGCCAGTATCCGTTCTAGTAAAATCTACTAGAGCCAAATATAAGCAAAAGATCAAGATACTGCTATAATAACCCTTTTATTATAATGCCTACATGTACCCTGTTTACTTGAAATTACATATCCAAGCATAATGTAATATGTATAAAGCCAGCAATGTCATTCCCGATCACACCCCAGTATGATACATATTTTTGGGGTTTTATTTGTGCATATGCTACATATGCATTAAATGAAGTAAATTATCTACAGGTATATCATAAATGTACTTACTGCCCGTGTTCACTTGCATCTTCAGCAGCTATTTGTAACGTTCCTCTCCTAAATAGCCGCTTAACTGGGGCGGTACTTTCCCGATTGCCATCCAAAAGTACCCACTTTTGGGTTAAACTTGGGGGTACTGGGTTTTCCCCAGGCCCGTTTGGTTATCTTGGGCCTTACAAACCTGCATTACTTTGGGGGGTTCATATTGATGATTCAAAAATCCCGGCCCGATGTCCAGTGTAAAATTGGGGCTTGAACTCTCCCCGGGGAAAGCAATAAATTTTACCCCAATTTGTCCCAAAAATTTAAAAGTTTGATCTTGGTAACTGAGACAAAAATTTACCAATATTAAATGCTGGCAATGGGTCCTTAAACAGGTAAAACCAAGTTTTTAAATTTCATTTGGGAGAGTAACATTCCCCGTAGTATCCATTTTTTTTCTTTAAATTTCCAGAAATTTTATTTGTTAAACCCAAATAGAATTTTAAAAGTATCTTCAACAAAAATTTGGAACAAATGGGAGAAAACTGAAAAACCTGTACTTGGGGCTTTTTTCCCTTTTTTAGGCCCCCGTTTTTCACCTTTTTTCACTGAACTTTCAGATTCTGCAGCTTTTTCATTTGCCTGCCCTCAAAAAAATTTTTAAATGCCTTTTTTTTCGTAATGACCCCTTTTTTTGGGCCCGTTTTTAAAATACCTTTGGAAAAAGGTTCCCCTAATCTCCTCTAAAATTTTGTATTTGAAAAATTTTCAAACCGACTTTCAACTGAAAGGGTCCCTTTTCTTCCCAAAAGGGAAAAGTTTTACAAGAGGTACTTTTTTTCTGGGTTGGGCTTTTTTTTTGTTTCTACTGAAATCTGAAATTACTTGGGCTTCCATTCTACTGGCCCATCAAAGTCAGAAAAACTTCTCATAATTGTGTTTCCCATTAAAAAACTTACTCCCTATTTTTATCTGCTACACTCTGGGAAAACCCGAAAAAAAAAATGATTTTCTTTTAAAGGGCCAAAAAAATTTTTAAATTTTTTCCAAAATATCCATGTGAAAAAAGCATGTCCCATAAAAAATAGAGACAAGTTAGGTTTCCCCAAAACTGGGAAAAATTGAATAACAACATACATTTGGGTTTAAATTTTATGAAAACTTACCCTTAATTAGGTTTTTCGAAATTTTTTTGGGGTTCCCTTTTTTTAAAATTTAAAAAACTGTGCTTTTTTTGCATACCGAAACCCCAAAATCCAAAAATATTTAAAACTTTTTACCCCCAAATTTTTTTTTTAAATTGGGGAAGCCCCAATACCCAATAAATTTTTTTTGTAAAACTAAAAAAAACCAAAAAAAAAGGGGTTATAAAAATTTTTAAAAAAATGTTTGGTTTTCCTTTTTAAGCTTCAATCAAAAGTTTATCAAATTTCTTTCATTTCATGCTTAAACATTAACAAAAACTCTCAATTTAATTACCAATTTAAAATAAAATACAAACAATAATCTATTATTGCCTATCCGCTTTACTTGTTAAGTAAAGCGCTTTACTAGGCAATTTCCTGGATTAGACCCCTATATATATATATTTCAGGAGTGAAACTTGTATACAATACACTAAAGAAAATGGAATGAACCTTATATATACTCCTGGCTTAGACACCGAGGTCTATTCCAGAATATAGCCATATACTTGTACATGCTGACAGTGCAAAGATCTAGGCAAATATTTTGTTAAAAAATATTTCATTTGAAACTTAAATTAAAGGATTTAAACAGCAGAACATAGCCATTTAATCATGATTTTACAGACATGACAGTTTAAATTTAATTATTATGTTAAAAGGTATTTCATTTTTACTTTTGTTCATTAATAGGTGAACAATAGGTCAAAATGAATGTATTCATCCACTGACGAACATGTTTTATCCTTCCACAAGAAAATCTTATGGAACCTGCTTTGAGTTTATGAGCAATTATGAAGTTGCTTTGCCAGGAATTAAAAATATCTCAAACTCAAAGCAACGTCTTATTCATAGGACTAACTACCACCCATGCAGGCTTCTTTGGTCTTGTCCCTGGTTATAAAGCACTAAATATTCAAGTACTACATTGGCAATCAAGCATTTACAATTGTTATCAAGTTTTTTTAAACATTATAGCATACAGTCAATAATATTGAAAATCAATCTTAATTTTGCCCTGACTGGTTTTTAGAACACGCATGAATGACAGATAACTTAACATGATTCAGAGTCAATTCGTCCCCTGGTCAACTCGTCCTCTGGTCAACTCGTCACCTTTTTGGTCAACTCGTCCCTTGGACAACTCGTCCCCTGGTCAACTCGTCCCCAACTCGTCCCCTATATTTTCATTTATTATTTGTTTTTCATATATTCCATAAATTATTATAGACTGTTTTTAAAATAATATTATAAAATGACTGAATTGGACATATTTTGACGCTTTTTGTATGCGAATATTTTTGGAGTTTTTTTATCTAATAATAAGCTATATTTATGCATAAATCTGATTAAAAATACATACAGAAAAAAACAAACACGAAGACGATTCAATAGCAACAACATTTACTGTATAAAAACATGTTTCATATGCAATGATGAAATATTCATATAGTATGTCTTTTTTGTCAATATATATCATATATATTCACTTTCACTTTCATTGTTTTTTGCATGCACATATTTCATTGTCTTTTTTTTTTGACATCTTACGACTCTTGGGGATTATATAAGTTTCCCGAATTCTCTTAGAAGTTTCCCGTTGATGACAACTCCCCATTCCTGTACCTGTCCCACAGCTTGGTGCGTCTGTCCCTGGAGAAAGGTGTATTTTTTACCGTTGGTAGCGGCATTGGTCAACTATAATAGATATATTTATCTCTTTAATGCGAGGACATGGAGGATGTATTGAATCTCTCAAAATTCGCTTACACAATTTGTCTAAGACATAAACAGTCTAAAAATCAAAGAGTTGGACCTAAATTTTAAGTTTTAATAATCATTTAAAAAATCCGATTGATTAAACATTAATTGAATGTTTGCAAATTTTAAAATTTTTACGTAAAAAAGACGTTATTTTTATTAATATTTCGATAACAATCAAATTCATTATTAATTCTACATTAAAAAAGAACTATTTAAAGACATTGGTTTACAACATAATAGTGACGAATAGATCGAAAGTAGGGGAGGAGTTGACCATATTAGGGACGAGTTGACTCTTTGAGGACGAGTTGACCAAAAGTAGGGGACAAGTTGACCAAAAAGGTGACGAGTTGACCAGAGGACGAGTTGACCAGGGGACGAGTTGACCGGATTGCACTTAACATTACTAACAACACTGCTTAGAGATAATGCTTGTTAGGCGGAAGTATAATGCTAAAATGTGTATAAATAATTTTAACTAGTCAAACTTGTATCTTATAAGTTGCAAGGTTTCAAGGTTTATTTGAATACGTCAGGGCCCATATGGGCAGGTGATAAGTCTATAAATTATGTAGAGCGAATCGTCTGTGGGGCGAATCGTTGAAACATAAGAAGGTGAATATCAAAAAATCTCGCGGCATAAATCCAAACCAACTGTATCAGTACATATTGAAAACACCTGATATTCGTAAATAAATGCATTAAGTACCGAATTGCAATGTAAAAACAGTGAAATTCAAGTAAACTCCAGGCTTTGTTTAGAGTTTGAAGACGCCGAATACCTCCGAACTGAAGAACGGTGTCGAGGCTTTTTTCTCTTCAACAGTTCAGATTAAATGCTGCTATTGAATTTCAAAGAAAACATTACAAATTTAGTTTCACTAGCCTAAAAATAGAAATTCAAATATCTGAATTATTTAGATATGTAAAATGATTCATGTTCTATTGATGATCTGTATCTGTGAGGGTTCGTCGTAGTGACCAGAATCTGGCTTTAACACGACGGTGAGGGGAGGCGCCTTAGTCACAAAGTTTTATAGAGTTTTTGAATTGTTGAACTGTTGAGAGTCACATAATTCATTCCAGTCTAACACTGTTCTGATGAAGAAAGAATTTTTGTAGTTTTCTGTTTTTACATATACTGGTTTGTAGCACTTTTGATTATTACACACAGATTTTTCCACAATGTTATCACTTATATAATAGTGATATATACGATATAATACATGCCTTTTCATTGCCCCTGCTCTGTTTATGTAGAGTTCAAATATTCTGAATTGTAAAGTTTGTATCATGTACATTTTGTATATTATGCCCCATCTTTCAAAAAAAAATTAAAATAATAGAGTGCTCTAGATCTAATTATATAAATTTAAAAAAAGCAGAACGAACGCTACAAAGATGTTTTTGCGAATCAAAGTCATACTTTCATATTTTATTTGTTTTCTTTTATTTTCAATTTATTTGATTTGAGTTATTTATCTATTTATTTTTTCTTGGACTTAAAATCCCAGATTTTTAGTACAAAACGGCCACAAGTACGACTAAAATGAAGGTAATACAGTTATCACGACCGTAAACAAAGCAGACGTTATCTAACCGATCGCACCAATCCGATCAATAAAGTAACCTTGCATTAATTAACTTCATGTAATAAATAATTGTCTGATCGGGAGCATTCTCTATTGCAGTTAATTTAAGAATTCACTATCTCTGCGCTTTCTGAAGCACGGCTAGTCATCTGTATCATATAAAGATCTCTGCAGAACCTTCCATGGAACCAAACTCAATTGATGTGTTTTAATAAGAGTTTGTGTGCATAGTTTGCATGTTTTGTGACATTTTCTTCATACGCATAGCAAAGAATATCTTCACAAAGAATATATGAACATCCGAAACAAAAAATGGTAAATATCATGGAGCTAAATATAAAATTGTTTATACATGTATATCTGTGTAAATATAAAGGAAATACAGAAAGCTAGAATTGCATTTCGACTTTCTTAAAAAAAAAAGCTTTAAAAAATGAATTTTACACACACACACAAAATATTGAAAAATTGGAAACAGATCGACCCTGTGATTGACCTTCTTTTGCATAAGTTTAGAGGCTCTTCTTTAAAGCAATATAAAGCCTAATTAAAACTCTAACTCGAATAATCGGCCGCTAGAGGCCCGTGTGGCAATTATAGTTCAACCTGTCTATGTCTACGAATTTTCGTAAAAAGCACAATTTTCGAATACAAACCGTGACGAAATTGTCCGTCTGATTCCGTTGTCGATAAGGCATATTGCATACATTACAGGTTTTTAGATTCTTCTTGCCAAAAGCTCTAACCAAAGGAAATGGCCACAAGAGGCCTTTTGTACCTTTTGGATTAGCAACTTGTTTTTCTATACATACAAAGTCTCCGAATTTTCATAAAAAAGCACCATCCGATATTGTGGTGCGAACCGTAACGACACAATTTGTCCGATTCCGTTGCGGGTAGGCCATTGCACAGGTTTTTTTTTTTACTGCATTATGATACGCAAAGCTCTAAATCAGAGAAAATGACCACAGAGAGCCCCTGTGGCATGGTCGCTTGTCGGATCGGCAATTAGTTCCTTTTGTCTATAAAGTATACTTACTTTCGTAAAAAGCACCGTTTTTAGAGACAACCGTTACAAAAATATTCATCAATGCATTAGTTTGCAGCAATATCAGGCTTAACCTTCCTTTGGTAAATCAAGTGGCCCGCGTGGTATGATCCAATTTTGTATCAAACGATTTTTTTCTTTCTGTAAATAAGTGAACCACATGTCATAAAAAGCAGCATTTGATACAAATGTTTCAACCACTTTCAGAGCATTTCTGTCGCGAAATTACGTTTATGCCGAGCTTGTTTGGGCGAGAAAATACCTGCAAGGAATGAGGCCCGATTCGACATTCACAAATAGCTACAAGTA